GTGGCAGTATTGCCACACAATAGCAGATAACCACACAAACAACGTGAGAATGAGAAAAGCAGCCCCTGACATCTGAAAGCTAGCCTTGTACTATTAGCAAGGCATTGATGTTGCTGGGAGGCTGGCTTGCACTCATAACCAGGCCTCGTTACAAAACATGAACAATTTCAAAGAACACCAATACCAGACAAGGTCACCCTATGACTATGAGTATGTCTGATGATGGATGAAAACATAAACATTGTCCGAATCACAAAAATGACCAAATATTCCCTATACTGGCTATCATGCATACATAGCTTTAACCTTGATTCATTTTCCCCATGTCTTAGAGATAAGATTTATTAAGATGCTCATTGACAGACTCACCCCTCCTTACAGCATTGAACACAAAGCAAAGCCCACTTCCTTGAACCCTCCTTCAAGTCACCTTATGTAAGTCCAAATCCTATACTAAGTCCTTTCTGACACACTCTTACTGAAAGGCCCCATGATTCCCATTGGTATGTGTTCTCCCTCACTACAAGCAGCAATACACCCAACTTGTTCAACCAGATATGTTCCTGTTGAACACAACTAGGTCTTTGACTGGACAGTACTGACAAAACAAAAACAAAACAAGCAAATAACAAAAACACCATGCATGACTTTACCACAGAACTTGCACAAAATAGAAGTATAAACCAATAAAACAAGAAAGAGGCTATACTCAGTTTAGCTATAAGACATAAAAATAGAACTGAGTATCTCAAAATGAGTAGAAAGAAACTATCTGACAAACAGTAGTAGGATAAGTGGATATGAATAGGAAAACTAGGACAGATCCCCACTTTAGGCTAAAGAAGAATAAATTCTACATAGGTTAAAGAATTAAACATAATTAATAAAAGATCAGCTGACATGCATTAACTATTTTACCAGATCCATGGAAAAATAATGAACCTCTCATTTGGAAACAAGAACAACAACAACAACAAAAAGACTGACCAACTTAGGCACAAATTCCTTGTATATAATGAAAAACAATACAAAAGTAAAATAAAGTGCCTGAGGAATACTTGTATCACAGTGACAATATATTTAAATCTGAAATATAGACTTTATTTAAATTCACCAGGAACACAGTACTCGAGTATAGTCTGTAACAGACAATTGAGAGAAGAAAACAGAGTAAACAGTCCTGTATTTAAACCTAGAACTTATTAGTTAGATGGTACTGGATGAGTTCTCTGTGACCTGTACTTACACAGACGCATCTTCAATCCTCTCAGGGATCTACGGAGATGCCACTTTATACTTAACTACAGTAACAATTTAGACAAACCCAAAATCAAAGCTGGAAATATTGGAGGCATATGCTGGGAAGTCCCTTCACCACTGATAGTATTCTATGTAGTTATAACACATAGAGGGAGTCATAACCCGATTATCCAACACCTAGAAACTCTCTCAGCAGAAACTATCTGCTCACATTTCACACTATTATCCACAATGGCAAACAGAAACAGCTTAAAATTGTGTCTAACAAAAAAAAGTTTAATGAATTGTGCTGTATTAACACATAAATTATGTAATTATTAAAATAAATGGGAACTGCCAGCTGCAGCAGCTGAGACCTGTAATCCCAGCACTTTGGGAGGCTGAGGTGGGAGGATGGCTTGAGTCTAGGAGTTCAACACCAGCCTGGGCAACATGACAAAACACCATCTCTACAAAAAATATAAGACTTAGCCAGGCATGGTGGTGTGCGCCTGTAGTCCCAGCTACTTGGGAGGCTGAGGTGGAAGGATCACCTGAGCCTGGGAGGCCAAGGCTAAAGTGATCGTACTACTGCACTCTGCCTGGGCAACAGAGTGAGATCCTATCTCAGGAAACACACACACCCACCCCCCCAACACACACACACTTAAAAAAATAAAAATAAACGGGAAGGCTAGAAAATATTTAGGATGTGATGTGACCCAAAAAAAAGAATGAAGACTACAAAAATGAAAATAAAGCTATCGATAGCTGAAGAGTTATAATGTGCCAGGCACTGTTTGAGGCATTTTGGTCATGTTTCATTTAATCTTCCCGACACCTGTCAGAAAAATATTATTTTCATTTTATAAAGCAGATACTAGGGCAAAGAGAGGTTAAATATATGGCCAAGGTCACAGAGCTGGGAAATGGAAAAGGCAGATACGAACCAAGATATGACTTCAAATGGTGTGTTTTTAATCACTGCACTCACTCACTGTCCTACTTCTTTTAGACATATATGATGACTGCAACCAAGCACAACTATGAAGATCTGGGAACAAACACTGTAAAATAATATGCAAATGTAAAATAACTGCAATATGGGAATAGGATAAAAGGCAACGTAATTTTTAAAAACCATCAGCTTTAATGCTATATTACCTACCCAAAGAAAACGCAATTAACTAATGTTTGACACCTCCACTTCTCCATCAGAAGTTTAACTACAGTCATCTCTCAGTATACGTGGGGGATTGGTTCAAAAACCACCCGCATAGGCCAAAATCTGTGCATACTCAGCAGTCGGCTCTACAGAACCCACATATATGAAAAGTTGGCCCTCCATATACGCCAGTTTTGCATCCCATGAATATTGTAGTTTCCATACATATCTGGTTGGGAAAAAATCCACATGTAAGTGGACCCACACAGTCCAAACCTGTGTTGATCAGGAATCAACTGCATATATGTCCTCGGAAAAAATCTTGGCATTGCTTCCTGTCCAAATTACTCCTAATTTCACTCTTTTCTAGAAGAATGGAATGGAGGTAGAGAATGGTCCAAGATAAACAGATAAACCAGAATGTATCCATCAGAGTTGGACAGAGATCACTGGTCAAGGGTGAGGAAGAAAAAGCTTAGGAGATAAAGACACAGAGAGATCCAGAAGGAGACGTGCAAAATGCAGAGTAACTGGGAAAGTCAGGTGAGCTTCAGGAGTCCTAGGCAGGGGAGTGGGTGGAAAGAGAGATGCACTGCCAACCACAGGGGGCTCCGCCTGCCTGCTTTTGCTCTTACAATCATCAGAGCCCCTACGTGCTCCCTGTAGAAACAGCAGTGGGTGCTCTATCCAGTTGCCTTTTTTTTTTTTTTTCCTGAAAAACTGGGTTCAGCAATGCTATGTGGCAACATGAGGGCGTGTAAAAATGCACACTCTTGCCATTCAGGTGTGTGTGCTGACAGGAAACCAAGACATTTTCTTCTCAGACAGTGAATTAATACTCTTTCCACAATTACATCTTCATTTGTACTTTTTGGATAACAAATACCCTTTTCTGGTCAAATTTCAGATGACATTTTGAGCAGTGTCATCCTTCCTAGATGGTAAATGGAAAGACAGGACACTGGATTCTATGAGATTGGACTAGAAAGCCCATGTTAAGAAGGACTTACATGGGGGAGTGGGGAAAACAAAGGAATCTCACCCCGAGACATTCCAAGCTGTTTTACTCACTCATATTCTGCTTGCACGAGGCTCCTTCAAGTCTCCTTCCCAGAGGTTCCTATGGATGGCAGCACTAGGCATTTAAAACAGTTTTCCAGAAGTCTTGGGGGTGTTATAGCCGATAACACCTCCAGATTACTGGGGGACACTTTTTCCCTGACTATAAAAATTTTATTTATTTTTTTTGAGACAGAGTCTCCCTCTGTCACCCAGGCTGGAGTGCAGTGGCACGATCTCGGCTCACTGCAACCTCTGCCTCCTGGGTTCAAGCGATTCTCTTGCCTCAGCCTCCTAAGCAGCTGGAATTACAGGCACCCACCACCATGCCCAGCTAATTTTTGTATTTTTAGTAGAGACGGGGTTTCACTATGTTGGGCAGGCTGGTCTTGAACTCCTGACCTCAGGTGATCCACCCGCCTAGGATTATAGGCATGAGCCACCATGTCCAGCCAGAAAGATTTTAGACATATTAAAGTTAACAGAGTTTAACTGAGCAAAGAATGATTCATGAATCCGGTAACTCCTGGAACCAGAGGGATTCTGGTGCTGTCATGTGGTCAGAGAGGAATTTATGGACAGGAAAAGGAAAATGGTCTGGGCGTGGTGACTCTCGCCTCTAATCCCAGCACTTTGGGAGACCAAGGAGAGTGGATCATTTGAGCCCAGGAGTTCAAGATCAGCCTGGGCAATACGTTGAAACCCTGTCTCTACAAAAAAATACAAAAATTAGCCGGGTGTGGTGGTGTGCACCTATAGTTCTGGCTATATATCACCTGTGCAATCACTTCAGAAGAATATGTCGCAGAGAGTCAGGGCAGAGCTAATTTGTAGTAAAAGATTCTGAGAAAAGGAAAGCAAAGCTGGATGCTTCAACAGCCATCAACATTTTAGGACAGGGCTGGGGAAGGAGGGATGTGCAACAGTGTCCTGTAAATCTGATTTTACTGATACTACATCTCAGCCAGACCAGAATCAGTTATGTGCAAAATGATTAATCACCGTCTCCCTGAAATATTCAAGGTCCTCCTGCCTTTTCTTAGGATGGAAAAAAAAAAAGCAAACTCTGAAATATGATTTCAGGCTTTTCTTCATTCTATACTCTTTTAATAAAAGTAGAAGAAAAAATTTTGCCTTGGATTTGGCTGAGTTATGGGGTTTATCTCCTAAGAGGCAAAGCTTCATTCCTCAGCCAAATCATCAAACTGAGCCCAAGTTATAAGAGGCCTGATAGAAAAGAAAAAATGTTCATCCCATGCCCTCAGGCATGAATTTATCACATGTGATAACTGCTCTGTGAGACAGGTTTTCTCTTTAAATTTACAGAAAAGTGGGCACTGCAGAACAAAATTAATTGAACTAACGGGTAAGTGCTGATAACCGGTTGTGCATGGTAAAGCCCAGTGCGTTTCTGACAAACGTGGCTGGTGAGTTACAAGAGAACACAGGGCACTGCTGGGCAGTGGGGTAGGGAAGTGGGAGAACAAAGCCATGGAGCACTATCTGGGGCACAGACTGCAGCTGGGCCCCAACCTACCTTCTCTGCATACTCGGACACAATCTGCTTGATCTCGGCAGAGCAGAGTCCCACGATCTGGCCCACGGAGCTTGCGGTGAGACGGCTCTGCAAGCACATGGAGGGGATGTTCTCAAGGCCAAGCCTTGTCTTCCACAGCAGTGGAAAATCTGAACACTCTATTATGGTAAAACGGATAATATTCCCAGGGGAAAAAATAATTTGGCTTTGCCACATATTACCACCAAGAAGGGAGGAAAGCAGCCTCGGGACAAACACGCAGCTACCTCCTGAATCACTGAGCAGACGGTGCTAGATCCTCCTCTGACCCTGGGCAACCCTGGAAAATGGTTCTTCCCTTCTATGTCCCACCCCAAGGTCTCACCCCCTGAGGGCCACCAAACAGCCTGCAGGGGATTTGGCAGGCTTAGGACATAGGGAATAGAGAAGAGCATGGGAAAGGACAAAGAATCTCAGAACTTTAAAATATCTCTTTATTACCACAGGTCTTCCCAGGCCACAAAAATAATGATCCTTTCAGGCAAGGCGTGGCGGCTCATGCCTGTAATCCCAGCACTTTGGGAGGCCGAAGTGGGTGGATCACGAGGTCAGGAGATTGAGACCATCCTGGCTAACACGGTGAAACCCCATGTTTCGCATACAAATACAAAAAATTAGCCGGGCGTGGTGGCGGGCGCCTGTAGTCCCAGCTACTCGGGAGGCTGAGGCAGGAGAATGGCATGAACCTGGGAGGCAGAGCTGGCAGTAGGCCGAGATCGCGCCAGTGCACCCCAGCCTGGCCAACAGAGCAAGACTCCGTCTCAAAAAAAAAAAAAGAATGGTTCTTTCACACTTGGCTATACCTTCTGGACAGGCTCTGGAAAGACCAACTATAATCTCAAAATCCTGCTTCCTACCTAGACAGTGGAGGAAGAAAGCAGAAGACAAGAGCTGCCTCAGCATGAGGCATAACTCGCGGGCCAGCTCCAGCTCTTCCACAGGGGCCCTGTGAACCTCCCAGCAGGAATATTCTGCTTTCACAAGGGTCCTTCAAGTCTCCCTCCTAGAGGTTCCCATGGATGACACACAAGACATTAAAAACAGATTACCAAAAGGAACTCCCCGGGGAGGAGGTACTGTGTGATGGTGACAGGGGGTTCTGGAGAAGGTGGGCTCTCTGGGAGAAGACCCCAGCAGAGCAGGCTGGTGCCAAGTCCCCATCCCCACACCTCCCCGACTCCCACTCACCTCCTCATTTGCCATGGCGGTCATCTTGGTCATCAGCGACTGAATACGCTGCTGAAAGAAGAATGGATGGGAGCAGCAGTGAGCGGTTCTGAACATGTAAGACAGAAGCAATATGCCTACACGGATCTTTGTGGTGATATCCAAGGGTGTCTTCCTTGATCTCGTCTTATGTGAGCCTCAAAGGCAGGTGATAAAAGGAAACTGGAAGGTGTGAAAGGCCTGCTCGCAGCAGCTGGCTGTGGGAGGTGCTGGCCATTTGGGAACGCTAGGGATAAGAGTACAATTTCTCCCAAAATGACTTACACAGAAACCTCAGAGGGCCTACATGGACCACACACCTCTTCAGCTGCTCGAAGCTCATCTTCCTCGTGGGCATCAGCTTTTTCTGTAGCTGACAGCCCTGCTGCAAGCGCCGTTTTCTTGTCCTCAGCCTGCAAGGGAAGATGTGAAAACAGCTGAGCATGGGAGTTGGAGACTTAGCAGAGAAAGGACAATACTGCCAAGAGGCATGAGTCTGTGAGAGAAACAAACTTGCAGAGCAGCACCACCCTGATAGAGTGGATACTCCAAAGGCCTGAACCTCCACTCAAGTACAGGGCGTGCAGGTTAAGCTTCAGGAACTGGTAAATGCCTGTTTCCATGTCCCAACTGCTCACCGATTAAATTCAGGCCACACACATTTGCCTGACCTGCCCTTCCACTTTGACTTGGCCTTCCCCATCCTTTAACACTTTCAAGCACAGATCACTACTAAAGGAGTGTTTCTTCAAACTGCCTGTTAAGACCAATTAGTGGGACATAAAAGTAATTTGGCAGGTACGACTAGCATCTGTATAAATTAACATAATGGAACATGCCAGAGTGCTTTGTAGTGAGGGGTTAAGTACTGCTTAGTGAAATTTTTGTTTTGGTGGTATTAGTGTGTGTGTACTGAATCATGACGAAAAATTACACGTTTACTGCTCAGAGTAATCAAAACAGTTTGAATATCACTGGTCTGAAGGATGAAAACTGCCTTATCTAATGATCAAGCAGCATGCTCTGGACTCAGCCCCAGGTCTTAAATGAAGCACATCAAACTCAAGGCTGGATTAAGTGCTGCCTCCTCAATTACAGGCTATAGGTTTTAATTCTATCTCTGCCATTCACCAGCTGGGTGACCTCAGGCTTACCTCTGATCTCTGCATGTTAAGGACTTCTAGGGTCAAAAGAGAGGTGTGGTCTCAAATGCCCTTCTTGGACCATCCCAACTCTAGGATGCTTTTCTATAACGAGTCTATCACTGCCCACGAGAACACTCTGAGCTCCTAACTGCTTGGACACATCTACAGGGGATGAGACTTCTAATTCAAATGTGCCGTCTGACATAAAAATGACAGGACAAGCACAATTTGAATCCTATTTCAGGGACATTTCATGATTTTTCCAATCATAACCAAATCGCCCAGTCATATACAAAGACAATCTTTTCAGACTTAAATTACATATCAAATTAAATATACACATCAAACCCTTATTATATACCAGATAAAACATGATATACTGAAATCCAGAAAACACGCTGCTTTGCAGGAAATCATTACTCAGTTGGGTAAAAAAACACAAATGGGGACAAAATAAATAATGAGAAAACGAAAAAAGAAGATATCATTATCAGTACATGACTAAGTACCAATAACTAACCCTGATAATAATAATAGTTAATGCTTATTAAATGTTTACTATGTGTTGGCTCATTCTAAGTCCTTTACATTTCAATCTTCACAGTAATGCTGTGAGATAGGTACAATGATTATTATCCAAAGTCACTCCGTGAATGGAGGAGCTGGGGTCCTAAGTCAGCCAGTCTGGCTTTAGAACAGTGCTCTTAGCCACTGCTGGTGCCTGCAGTGACTGAGACAACAGTCACCACAGGAAGCAGAGGGGGAGCCTGGGGGAGCTGTACAGTGGAGTGGGTGACAGGGGAATAGCAGGGGGAGTGTGTCCTGTTCAAGAAATCTGGGGATCAGGTGGAGAATGAAAAGAGGTTAATAACAGATCTTTTTAAGAGGCCACTGACCACTTTAGCTGACACTTTCTTATTTAGAAAGCAGTGGCTATGAGCTCAGGTTTGATGTCAGATCTCTGGGTTCGGATTCTTATTTATTCACTTTAGAGTTATGTGATCTTGGACAAATCACCGAGCGTCTCTGAGCATTAGCTTTCTGACCTAAAAAGCAGAAATAAGTATTCTCCTCATACACCTGTTCAACAGAGTAAGTGAAAACATACAGAGTCCTTAACATAGAGCCTGGAACACAGAAAGGGTTTAGCAACATAACATCTATGTACCTGCCCTGCTGCTGACAATGAAGCATCATTAATAAACACATAAATTAACAGAAATCTTCGGGCAACCTTTGTGAAGTTAGAAAAGCCATCCTGACTTACCTGGCTCTTCCATGACTAGCTGTTTCCACAGAGGGCAGGCCTGTAATTCACAGCTGTGCTCTACCTAACATCCTGTTCACATCTGTCCAGAGTCTCTCACCTCAGATGAGGAGTGCTCTGGGAGCCCTGGCAGTGGACTTCATCTTCATAGTGTAAAGCTACTAGACCCCAGGTGACTGACCCTGGGCCACAACTTTCAATCACCCCTCATTTCCAGCCCCAGGATGAGACTGCTGCTTTGCTCCCCAATCTGCAGAGGTGGCAAGCTAGAAAAGCCACGACGGAGATGCAGGGGCCCAAGGCAGCTCACACATCCCTGCTATCCCAGCCTGTCCGGGGATCAGAGCCTGGGCAGCAGCAGCCCTGCCACATCCCCTTCCTGGGCTTCCCAGGAAGCTGCCCATCCTGTGAGTGTTAGAGGTGAAGGGAGTCACTTCCATCTCTCAAATATTCTCTCCTATTATCAATGTTTTTCTTACCTTCTCCGTTTTGCTCTGGCGGCTAAATCCGTATCTCCTGAAGACCACAAAAAAGGAGTTTAATTACTACTCAAAACATTACAATAAATCCAGTCAAATGCATTTTGGTTGACTTTTTACATGAAAAGCATCAACAGAATTTATGCCAGTTGGTGACTAGAGAAAATGTTACAAGTGCCTAAATTACAAACATATTCCACTGTCTTTTGAATACAAGGCCAGCCACCCTACTTGCTATGCAAATACTATAATGTAAATTGGAACTCTCAGACAGTATAGAGTGCAACATTTTCCTTAAGTGCAATCATGACTTTTTGAATCAGGAACTGCATTTCAGAGCCACAGTTTAAGCTAAAAGCCTTAAAAATATCTATATAAACAAATGTAAATGTGTTTCCTTAAGCCAAACATGCGCTTTAATGGCTACTTCTGTAACTTAGAGTCTACCACACTTTTTATTCTCAAACATAATCCAAGCATGATGCCAATAATGTATACTCACTTCACACAACCTTAAATTCAAACAAACACACAAACCCAATTCAGTTTCAAGTAGTTTATTTTCTGGCTCTAATTAATCTATATTTTTTTTAAATGCAAGAATAACAATGCAAAAACCATTCAACCCCCAACAAAAGCAAAATGCAAACCACCCAGCCTCAGACACCTTTAAGTGATTTGTAAGAAAATAAAGTTAATACAAACATTTAAGGAGAACAAATTGAGCTGGGCGTGGTTGCTCACACCGGTAATCCCAGCACTTTGGGAAGCTGAGGCCGGCCTATCACCTGACCTCAGGAATTCGAGACCAGACTGGCCAACATGGGAAAACCCCATCTCTACTGAAAATACAAAAACTAGCCAGGCATAGTGGCACATGCCTGTCATCCCAGCTACTCGGGAGGCTGAAGCACCAGAATTGCTCAAACCCACGAGGCGGAGGTTGCAGTGAGCCGAGATCACACCACCGGACTCCAGCCTGGGTGACAGAGCAAGACTCTGTCTCAAAAACAAATAAATAAAAATAAAGAACAAACTAAAGGCTGCTCTCTGCCTCGCTTCTGCATGCCTCACTTCTGGGGTGTGTGCTCACCTGGTCTTGGTCCTCCAGCTTCACTCTCCACACTATTCCTGCCCATTCCTTGTCCAACTTCTGCATTGGCCTGATGTACATTTATCAATGGCAGGCCTCTTCCCTCAGGAGAAAACAGAACCTCCTCAGGAGCCTCATAAAGCCTCTCTTCCATGGCTCCGCCTAACAACTGTTTCACCTCACCACCAGCAGCACCTTCTGTGTTCCTATTACACTTACTACCTGAACAGAGAGCTCTGCACACACTAAGCTGCTCCCTTCTCTCCCCCGCTTCCCTGTTCAGCCTTCACCCCTCAGTTCTAAAGCCTCCTCCCCTGTGAAGCATCCCCCATGCACATGTGCTCAGCCTGGCCTGCCCATCCCTGCATCTGTTCATGCTCCTCTCACTTCCCAGATGGTGATTACGTGCAACTGCTACATATCTGTATCATTCTCCTGAGGGCAAAGATTCTACCTTCACATTTGGTTTTTCCAATATTCGCTGAACAAACTAAACATAAGTGAAAAAAATGTGAAAATCAAGAAGCCAAAAGTATCATCTAGCCTTGCAACAGATTGTCATATAACTGGGGAGACCAAAAACTCACTGCTGGGCAGTGTGCCCACCCTTTAGAAATAAACCTATAGGTCCAAAGTGTAGCAGACCAAGGTTAAATTCTGGCTATCCACACAAATTCTGTAAAGGACCTTATGGCAGATTCCGTGGACTGGCTTAATATCCAGTGCATCTTCCAGTACTGCAGAGGCTGGAAAAGAGACTATTTTCCATACTCCCTTGCACCTAGAGTTCTGAATACTATTAAGGTTCCACCAATCAGATGCATCTGCTAGAGTTTTGAATATGGAACAGTTAAAGGAGGAAAGAGGGAAGCATAAGGGATCCATTGTGTTGGTGTGGATCACAGTAGAAACAACCAGGTTCTGGGGCTAGCAGCTATCACAGTGGCTTCTTGGTTTTTCAGAACCCCCTAATTTGACAGAAGCAGCATGGTTTCCTTCCTTGTCAAACCGCTATAGCACCAGCTTCCTAATCCTACAGAGTGCGAGCTAGCTTCCTGATTTTGGAGGCAGAAGCAGCGTCCTGGAGTTCCAGTTCTAATGTGAAGCTTGAGAGCTGACCCTGGATCAGCCTAGTTCTCATCCGGCCCTGTAACCAATCCCTTCTGCTGAAACTAGTGGGAGAGTACTGTTTTCTCAACCAGGGAACCCTGAATAATACAAGGTCTTGCCCAAGTTTCCCACTCCTATAGAAGTGTCCTTGCATCTTGAGTATTCATCCTTCCTGTTTTATGCCTTTGGTCTGTGGAGACTTTTAGGGCAGAAGACATAAGGTCCTTATCTAAGGCCCAGGGACTTCACAGATTTTCCAAATAAGGCAGTAAACAACCAAATCTGAGTGACTTGATTCCCAGGACAAATCTACTCCTTCTTAAAGACAGATTCTCTGGGAAGACTCTTCTAAGTAATCAAAACTACGTTAGCTCCACAGATGTGAGCTTCTGTGAGTGCGCTCATTGTATGGTGAACATAATTATCGGTCATGAGTAATCCTCTAAGCCTTTCTGTTGAGCTCCTGGAGAGGAAGAAATCTGCTTCATTCACTTTTTAAAAATATTTTAAAAACTGACTTATAATTCATATAATATAAAATTCACCATTTTAAAGTGTATTGCTCACTGGATTTTAGTATATTCACTATGTTGTGCAATCATCGCCATTATGGAAATCAAGAGAAGTTCCATCACCTCAAAAAGAAACTCTGTTACTATTGGCAGTTAATCCCAAATATTCCCTATTCCCAGCCCTTGTCTACCACTGATCTACCTTCTGTAGATTTACCATAGGTAGATTTACCTACCTATGGATTTACCAATTCGGGAGATTTCATAGAAATGAAATCACATAGTATGTGGCCTTTTGTGTCTGGCTTCTTTGACTCATGAGAATATTTTCAAAGTTCATCTAGGTTGAAGCATGAATCACTACTTAATTCCATTTTATGGCTGAATAATATCCCATTATATGGGTAAGCCGCATTTTGTTTCATCAGCTGATAGATATCTGGGTTGTTTCTACTTTTTAGCAATTATGAATTGCTAAATTCATAATTGTGCAATATATTATGCAATATATTTATAGTGCTACTATAAATATTCATGTACAGTTTCATTCACTTCAGTATCCCCATTGCCTGGCAGTTCAGTGTCTGCCACACAGTAGGCGCTCAATCAATAGTTGCTGCATGAATGAAGAGTCCATGTGATTTTTCTAAAGGCCTCATCTACCTCACAAAGTAGTGAGGTTTCCATGACAGAGCTCTGTCCTTAACTGCCTATTAACTACTGCCTCCCTTTCCTCTTTTCCTGTCAGCCCTGCCCATTTCCCCCAAGTGCCAGCTCTGATCTGCAGTCCCACATGCTTCAATTTGCTCCTGCATTCCTCTTCTTTGGCTCTGACTCATCGATTCTTGCTACCTACACTGTTGGCACCAAAGAGCCCCTCCCATCATCCAGTTCACTTCTTCATACCTTAGACATAGGATCTGGTCTTTAAATCAAGGATGTACATTTAGAACAGCACAGTACAAAAGAAATATAAAGAGGGATATGCATACAATTCTTAAATTAGTAGGTTAGTAGGTTCACATGCCCAAGTTATTCCAAAGATAAACATTTTCCATTAACGAAATCAAGCACGAACCTTAAAATTTAAATTTAACTTAATTAAAATCAAAATTATGTTTCTGAGCCACACTTGTTGAATTTCGATTGCTCAATAGCCACATATAGTTAGTGGCTACCATATGGGACACCACAATTCTAGAAAACAAACTAACTTTTAAGAACAATTACCTCAGGCCAAACAAAGACATTATCTGTTTGGAATACAAAACAAAATAGGGACATAAAAAGTCCTAAATACTAAGGACTGTGAATTCTGTTCTTTATTCATTTGACAACTTACTAAATACCTTTTATGAGCATGTCATAGGCCTTATCGTCATGGGAGATACAAACAGGTTGGGAGAGATACAACATATTTTATTTACTAACTACAGAATGAGTTGCCTTCTAGGCAACTCAAAGTTAGGCCTTGAATACCGAGGAACAGGCTAACTCCAGCATTCTGGAGGCTGTGCTCCAAACCTCCTCTTCCAAGTCAAATATACAGCACATAAAATGCATTTCCCCAGAGTAGCAGTTTCATAGCACGGTTAGGTGCTTAAGTTAGCCTCTCAAAATTGACTGAATCCATAATAAAATTGAAATATTACAGGTATGCAATTTTGTTTACATTCAAAATCAAAACTATGAGTCTTGTTTTCCTAACACCATTAACACTTAGAAAAATATACCCAAACATGCTTTTTAACATATAAACAGTCCTTAAGGCTTTCAGCATAGTTGAGGAGGCTCATAATTCACCTTTATTTAGGCAACTGAGAGTCAAAATAGGGGGAAGGAGATGGAATGCGGATCTAAAAGCCAAAAGGCACTGTGGTACATGTGTAAGGCTGATGAGTGACCTTCAACCCCAAGGAAGAAACACTGATTTCAGACCTTCTTGCTCTGGAAGTCAAAATACTTGCCCTCTGACAAGACATAAGATAAGGTAGAAAACAGAAACACTGGCAGGGGGATCTGGACTCCTAAAGCAGTGATGCCACACTGTAATGGGGGGTGGGTGAGGAAGTCAGGAATGCCGCAGTGTTAAAGGAAAAGGGAAAATGGAGCAAATTGAGTCCTGGGGCCAGCAGGGGGCCAACCTTGTTTGACAGGGACTGGGGAGAAAAGGGCCAGAGGGTGAGACTTCCCATACATGTGCTAGAGGGAGGGCTAGTGTGAGGGGTAATAGGTGAAGGAGTCCAAGGGCTGTTGCCCCCAAATATGGCACCCTAATATGCTGAATAATTTGAATTAAAGGCACTTGAAGGTCAAATGTTAGAACACGGTTTTTTCTCTCATCTATATAAAGACTGGACCCATTAAAGAAAACACAAGTGTCTTCCATCCACTCCCTGAAATCTCATTATCTACCACAGAGCAAGAGACTGAAAATTAAATACCATACCTAGAACCCAAACCATGGTCTGTTTCCCGTCCCATTCAATTTCTAGACAGTCATTTATTAACCATCATCTGATTCATTTCCCCAAAACATCATTTACTACCCCCCAAATTGGCATATTTCCCCACCTGCCTTTCCCCTGTGAAGAAGGATATATATGCATCTGGACATCACTGGGTTACTGGGTAGTCACACTTCTGTGGTTTTCTTCCATACAATAATAAATTATGTGTGCCATTTTCTCCTGTTAATCTGCCTTTTGTCAGTTCATTTTCGGTGAACCTTCAGAGGGTCAAGGGGACGCTCCCTCTTCACTCATACACAAACACACAAACACAAGGAGAATTGGAAGGGGAAATGGTCATATCTGAGGGCATTTGAAAACTGAAAACTGTTGCTGCTAATAATGATGATTACAATAAGGAGAATGATGACAGCGGCTAGTGGTTAACATTTACTGAGTGTTTTCTACATTGAACAAACTGCTCAAAATTATATATATATATATATAGTCATACAATCCTCATTTAATGGGAAAGAGCTCCATGCAGTGGAGTGCTGAACAGAACCTAGAGGAAACAGACTGCCAGAAACGAAGGGAGAAGCCTTCCCAGGGAGGTGGAATAGAACACACACTTGCTGGGGCCTGTACATTTTATCTGATTTGCTCTGTGAGGTTTAATAACTGTTCTCTTCTTATTTAGTTTCAGACCAAAGAACAGACATGGCCAGTCTTTCTAAAACTCAGAGCCTAAAAATACGCTCTCACTGAAGGCTCAAACAGTATTTGCAGACAATGAAAATGACATGCTTTTGGAGTTCAAGGAACTTTAGCTGAAGTACCAGTCTGAGCCTCTTACTAGTTTATGACCTTAAGCAAGTCATTTTTTAACCTTTCTGAATATTGTCATTATTAGTCTCAAAGAGGAGAATGAGCTAAATATACTATCAGAATGTACTAAGTACCCACTACTCTACCTGCCACAAACTTACCTTCTCCTTGCCAAAAAAAGCTAAAAAAAACAAAGTAACATCTCTCTCCCACCCAAGAAAACCCCAAAAACCTAAAACCTTCAGGAAATGCCCACCCTAGCCTTAGAAATTAGCAGAAGTCAGCATGACCATACCAACAGGAACCAGGATTGGTATCAAGACACTGCTCTTTCTCACTCTCAGGGTTTGAGAAGAGTCAAGCAAAACCTGTCTTGCTTCCTTTTCTAAAGAGAGCCAAGCCAGATTCTCACCTCAAACTGCATCAATCACTCCTGAGGACAGGCAGGGAGGTTCTGAACTTTCCCAGCCTTCAGATGGTGATACTAGCTACCATCTACAACGTATATGCAAAAGATCCCATTTGAACCTGAGAATTTCAGAACAAGAATATGTTCTGAAATTTTGTCAACATGGTCTCAGCGAGGAGGACAATTTACTGAATTTCTATCTCCTTTTCATCCTCATGGAAAATCCAATTTTCCATGATGATGGAAAAAATGGACACATAATAATACAAACTCACAAAATCCACTACATTCTCCCAAGAACTTCTTCATTCTGGGACACGTGACACTGACAGAGATTGTCTTTCCAGCTTTGGCTCTCCCAGAGCTGTGCAGCCTCACCTGCTCAGTTGCAGGTGGGCATGGCTAGAGAGACTCTGTCATGATTCCCAGGGCTGGCTTCCTGAGCACACAACCCGTCCATTAGCATAGTGCCCCATGCTTAGAAGGGTCCTCACTTGGCTGTTGTTGCTATCTTTAAATTCTTAATAATTAATCATCATTAATAATTGCTAACAAGTTACTTGGCATTTTTACTACATAGCTAGGCCGGGTGATGCCTGACTTGGAGGAGGCATTCAATTCACAGCAGCAACTAGTGAACTGTGGGGGCAGCCATCACACGCAGCCTAGGGCCAGAACTACTTCAATTTCCTTTGAAACAGACTAGTTTTTATTCTAAGGAAAAAAAAAAAAAACCCACAAGCAATTGCATACACTTCCATTCGGAAACTAGAATAATTAAGCCTAATTTCCCACTGGTTCTCTCCAGTACCCTAGAGGGCAGGCAAAGCCATCAGATGCTCTTAGGGAAATGCCAGTGGCAGTGCAGTTAGTTCCAGCCACCCCACAAGGGTTGGGCTGTGAGGCAGAGCAGCACACAGGAGCGTCTGGCAACACAAAGGAAGCACAAGGAGACTTACTCACATCAAGGAATCAGTTACCCTAAGAAGAGAATGCATGACATAAAATAAGGTTAACACCCAGTGACAACCAAAAAATTCAATGCGGAGAAGCATGTCCTTGCATTTTTTTTAAGTAAAAACTAAGGACACAAAATAAGATTTTTTTTTTTTTTTTAACTAGAGATGTTTTTAAGAAGTGACAAAACTACTTCTAAATTCTTCATTTTCCTAGTTAGGACAATATTCACAGGAAATTGAAATTATTATTCTAACACTTAAAGTGAAATCACTGAAACTGCTTTCATTGCTTTCATTTACCTGAAGATTTTAACAAATAGCAGCGGCATGAAGGACAGAGTACCTCAGCCTCTGTAAATTCCTGGAACACCCTAACGCCCAAAGGAGGGCAGAGCCTGGTGCACGTTTCCAGAGAGGAATTACAAAGGATGCCCACAGAAACAGGTAATTCATTACCAGAGAAAAGTCCCTGATGTTGGAAATCTCACGACTGAAAGCAGAAACTTAATCAGGTAGAAGCCAGTCAAGTTAATCCAAATGAAGCAACTTAAATGAGCTTTTCTTTTAAAAGAGACACCTAGACTGGGTCCCACTCATTACCTGCCATATTCCAAAAGCGTAGCATGGATTCGAGATTCTTCATCAAGCAGCTCCTCTGCTCCCTGGTGGCGTTTGTATTTCCGACGGGGCTTGTACACTTCCTAAGTGGATGAGACAGCCAAGTTACTGAGTGTGAGAAGGCTCTCCTCCTGAATTGGTTGCCGGATGCCTCCAGCCATGGGGTATATTCTTTTTTTTTTTTTTTTTTTGAGACAGAGTCTCGCTCTGTCGCTCAGGCTGGAGTGCAGTGGCACGATCTCGGCTCACTGTAAGCTCTTCCTCTACCATGGGGTATATTCTAAAATTATATATATGCACACATATATATCCTAAACAAAATACGTGGCATGTAGTAAATGATCAATAAATGCCGGTCTTCAGCCCCAGATGACGTGGTTTGCCATTCTACCCCAAATGAATGTACTTCTTGACCACTAAGCTGGCTGTCAAATAATATGCTAGTAATATCTGCTCAGGGCTCTGGGTGCAGGTAGGCAGCTGCTATGCCAGCAAGGTATTTGGGCTGCTCACCCCCACATCTCTCTTCTTCCCTACTACCCAGGTTTACTGCATCTAATCATTACCTGGACATCACCACAAAAAGCACTACTATCAGGTGTTTCCAGACACTGCATTTTATGTTAACTGGAATTGTTCCCCACGGATAATTCCAGTTAACTTTATTATTTTACTTTAGTATACAGTTTCGAGCATACAGAAAAACATTCTTTCTGTAACACATACTATATAATCTCAAACAGTTTTGTGGAAAAGGAAATGGATCAGGGCCTGAGATCCATCTAAGGTTGTTCTTAAAAATTCCTGCCACAAATATTCCCCAGTTTACTGCCGGTGCCTACATGAATAGGAAGCTATAAATAACATAAAACAGACTTACAGGGAGATGCAAAATAGAATCAACTTACATGGTGTCAGTTACTGTGCCTGGTTTGGCTTCCACTGAGCTCTACTATTACAGCTTGAGCTTAACTGCTATTATCCTTAGTTACAACTGAAAGAGTCAATAACTAAAGGCAAGAAATTGGATTCTTCTGAAAAAAAAAAAAAAGGATTGACTCCAAAACAAGAGCATACTGACACCAACAGCTAAAAGGACCTTTTATTCTGCCAAACAATGACAATGTTGGCTTTGTGAATTATTCCTTACATGTTAAAGTATAAAACTTCATATACATCTCACCTTTCTTTTACACTTTATAAACCACACTGTGAAGCAGAGACAGGGCACATACCACTAACTTCACTTTACTATTGAGGAAGCAGACATTGAAAAATTTGTCCAAGATCCCTGGGACACTATGAGGCCTGGCCCTAGGTAACCTGGTTTCTCATTTCAAGGCTTGTCCCTGACACTAACTTGCCCCAGACTGCCACTCTAGCCACCCACCAGTCATTTCAGCTAGCCCTCTCACAAGACTCATTCCACAATATGAAGCTGCCACATGGATCACAACAATGGTCTGCTGAAGTAATACAACCTAAATGTCAGGGCCTCACAGGCCAACTATAAAGAGCTATTGCTAAGTCATCCTTTAAAGCAACAGGGGTCAGGAATGTTGATGTCCAGTCCTATCTCTGCCACTAATCAGCTGCATGACCTTGAGAAAGGCAATTCCCCTCAATGGGCCTCAGTTTCTGCATCTGCAAAATGAAGCTAACAGATCTTGAAGGATGCTCCCAGGGTCTCTTCCTTTGTGTCCTTTTAATCCTGTAAAGATACTGACTTGGTAACATAATTCCATAAAAAATTTAAAGTCTGAGATTAATAAAAAGTATAACATGCTTTACATGATGTGCTCTTAAAAAGGAATATAAAATCAATTTATCCTTCTGTCATTAATAGTGGTAGCAACAGTAATAGTTACCACTTATTGAATAGTAGGTACGTGCCAGGCATGTTCTGCTATATCTGTGCTGCCCATTTGATCCCCACATCTATGAGTGCAGTTATACTTGTTATCTTCTGTAGACGAACTTAGGCATACAGAGGTTAAAAAACTTGCTGATGGTGAAAAAGGCAGTAAGTGATAAAAACAGGATGACTCCAGAACTGAGACACTTAAGCACTTTGCAAAATGTCTCATACCTCTACTTTCATCACCCTTTATCTAGGTTCTGATATATATATAAAATTTATATATATAACATATAAATAATTTATATGTACATACATAACATATATATAATTTATATATACATATATATATAACATATATAGATATTTGCAGATGGTAAAAGGCACACACACAGGGTTAAAAAAAATTAAGGTGACCCTTTTGTAAAGCAGAGAACTCTTGCACTGTGAGAGTCAGAGCTCTACTTTGCAGGTCTGCTTACAAGTCAGGTTCAGCTGTCAGAGTAATTACTCTGAGTTCACAGTCCTCAAGACAGGGAAGGGAGGTAGAACGGCACAGCACCATGGCAGTGTCTGCAGCAAATCCCTGATTGCTTCCCTCACGATTACCACAGACAACTTTTTTACTGAAATAATGGAACAGGCAGCGAAACAGCCACCACCAATGTGGCATTCTACACTCAAAACCTCCAGTGGGCCAGCCCACGCCCAACTCAACAGGAAGCAATACTTTCCACTGACCTTAACAGCTCATCCACGCAGCCCAAACCCAATTCTAACAGATCCATCTTACTTAGCCTATGTGTCCTGTCAGTAATTCTGCCTTTCACCTAAAGGGATCCCATAGATGTTTTCACTGCCAAGTGCAATGTCCTGAAAGATTTCATAAGAAAAAGTTACTATAAATGGGACAAATGAATGTTTCTCCAAAATTCTCACATTAATAAAACAACAACAAAAATGAAGTGCTTGGGTATTGACTGAAAGAAACAATGAAAGACAGAGGGATGGCAATCATTTCTGTAGAATCTTCTCCAGTGACACCCCTCACCCTTGTTCTTCCATTCTCTTTTACCTGAGCTCTGCTATGTAAGTATTTATCTTCTGCTCTCTGAGGTACAGCACCAGCCCCAACTCAGGTCTCCTTGAGTCTGCACTGAACAGTATGACTTGGTGGGTAAGAATAAGATTGCTATATTATATAAATGAGCTAAAGATGGTTCCTGCGTTGTTTACTTCTTCACAGAAGACTGATACCCATTGGCTCAAAAGCTGACCAGCACAAACTCAAATTTTTACATATCAAAATGTTTTATACACAGCCTAAATAATCAGACTTTTTGTCATTTAGAGCCTGCCTACTTGGCAAACCCTTCAAAAGTGTTGGCATTTTCTCACCATAGATAGGATAAACCCTGTGGCTAGGTAGACCTCAAGCCACTGGGGCTCTTCATAGGTCTCTGACCACAGACTCACTGTGTGATGCTGAGCAACATCGCCAAGACACATGAGCCTCCTCTGTGATCTTGGGGAGTTCCTTTCCTCACCTCCCACTCTGGATGTGGCCCTTGCATCCAAGCTTCTGGATGGTCTCATGGTGTAAGGGACTCCTCTACCCTGCAAGCAAACCTGTCAAAGCATCACCCAAAGAAAGCTTACATATGCTACTGCCACCTCGCAGTCAGGTAGTTGTTCTTGATCAGCCCTCAAACTCCTCACTAGCTGGAATGTCACTACTGTTGCCTCAGCTCCTAGAACATGGTCTGGCATGCAGTAAGTGTTCAATTAATATTACTGAATGAATACATGGAGTCAAACAAGCTAGAGTTTTAATGCTTGCTCCATTGCTTACTATACCTCTCTGACTTGAGGCAAGTTACTTTAACCTCTGTGGTTTTCCATCTGTATATTAGGTATAAGTAGAGTTGTTATGAAAAGAAACTAATCAGTATATTTAATAGTACCTGACACACAGTAAGGGCTAAGATATATACATATTCACATACATATGGATGTGTATTATTACTAAGATTGCTTTACTTAGGTCACTACATTTATATTTTACAAGCTGAATGAAAAGGACTTCCTCACAGCATTCCCTATGGAAGAACACACTGGACTGGTAACTTTAAATGGCAGTCTCTTAGATGATCCAGTAAGTTCCACAGAGCACTTCCTTCCAACTAGTCTGGAAGCTCTAAGAAGCCTTTTCTCTGTTCCCTCTATTCTCATACAAAAGTCTACACTACCAAAAAAAAAATGCTCCCAAATAGTAAACGAATATATCTTTTGGGTCTGGGTAAAACAGTGTGGGCACCGTTATTCAAGGTTAAGAGGGAGTAAAAGACCTCACTGCACAGGACAGACACTTCACGGCTGTGGAGGGCTGACAGCTCAGAGGAGGAAGCTGTGTCACAGCACACTGCGTGAGACAGAGGAGCTGATTATGATTATGATGTGAAAGTGGAAGGTGGTAGTTTCCATTCCTTATGTCCTTTGAAAAATACCACCTCCTATTGGGCAGGCTTTCTACAAAGCAGCCAGCTATTCTGTGCAAAGAAGATAGGGAGAAGAAAGTCATATACTTCAAAGAAGAAAGCAGGTACTGGCAATAATCTCCCAAAGGAAGAAGAATGAAGCCAAGACAAAAAAAGAACGCGCCCATCATAAGTTCGGATGATAAAGTTCACAGCAGCCTTTCTGCCTGGCAATCTGGCAAGAAGTACTAAAAGCCTTAGGTATAATCTTGACCAATTCCACTTCATGGAATAAATCCTAAGTTAATAATTAGAGATAAAAGAATAAATTTAGCTACAAGGATGTCCTACGTAATGGTCAAGTGAAAAAAAAAAAAAGAAAAAGAAACAAACTATGTAGCTGAACTAGTTCCACACAATGAATAATCTACAGCCACTAAAAATGCTATGCAGGTACCTTCATTGGCACGGAAAGATATCATCAATATATCACTGAGCAAAATGAGCAAGCAACAAAATAGAATACATAGTACAGTGCCTTTTTTTTTTTTCTATCTCTAATTCTTCATACAGATATTCACAACTCTGAATCTCCTGCTTGCAATATCAGTGGCTATCCCTGGCTGGTGATATCATGAGTGATTTAGTTTTTGCTTTTCTCCATTTCCTAATTTTTCATTCTTATTACAACAGTATTAGTACAAAAGAAAAATAACTTTGAAAAAAAAATCATGCACCAAAAAAATGAATGGGCTACATAACCAAGGATGAATGCAAAAAATTCAAACAGTCTCCTAAGGATGGCTAAAGACAGTAAGCTAAAGATTTAATATTTAAATACTTTTATGTTATGTCTAAGCAAGAATAAGTAAAAGCCTGTTAGTTAAGACATAAAGGCATCATGCTGACCAAAAGATAACAACAGGACAGCCCCCACCTGACATCTATTCTTTGGCTGGGCAAAGGGTCTTCAAATGAGAAGTCACAGTCAATGTTCCTATAAGGGAATGAAGAGATGGTGGGAGAGGACCCAACCACTCTGCATGCATTTGAGTCTCTCAGACCCACGTAAGTAATATCCCAGAGCCCTGAAGTAAGTCAGCAATAGTACTGCAAAATTGGTGCCAGGAATATGTGGGAAAGCAGAGACCAGGTGAAAAGCCAGAAAAGTGGAGGAGTGCCGACACCTGCTTTGCTAGAGTCAGGTGTCATATCAAAATCTGGCTCCCTCTTCCTAGCTTTGAAGCTACAGAGGGAATTTATTAACCTTGCTGAGCTTCAATTTCCTGATTTGTAAAAAGGAAATAATAATATATAACTCCTTGAGTGTTAATGAGGGATAAAGGAGCTAATGTTTGTTAAATGCCTATTGAGATGCCAGGCACGTGGCAGGAACTTAATAAATACACAGCAGCTCCACACCTATTTTACAAAAGGCTGGGTCTAAAAATTAGCCATCTATGTGTCTGACCTTATTTCATTCCTTAATTTTCCATTTGTGACTTAAAATTAAGGATTTCCTGTCCTTTATTAAAGGAGGGATTTTCCTTGAGGAGCATGACAATAAATACAATTTTGAGCTAGTTAATTTTTTGTACTGACTCACAAGAATAGGTTAGGGATATGCACCACAGCCCTAGAGTCTCTGCGAGCTTTTGGGGCTCTCATTTCAAGTCAGTTGAGGAAGGGCTTGCAGAAGTGGCCGAAGAGAGGGAGGAAAGTGAACGGTGACGGAGCTCAGCTAAGAAACCTACGCAGACAGCTCCTGGAAGTCAGGGCTGTTCTCAGTAGATGAGAAAAGGAAAACCCAAAGGCGAGCTTGAACTTTAGCCATCCATGAAGACTCTTTATCATTCCTGCTGAAAACTGCCGAACAACTGAAGATCAAGTTCACTCACAAAAAAAGGAAATAAACGAAACAATACAAATTATAACCAGGGAATCACAGTTTTTTTCTATTTCCCTTTATTTTTATTTATTTTTTTGAGACAGGGTCTCACTCTGCCACCCAGGGTGGAGTACAGTGGCACAATCACAGCTCACTGCAGCCTCAACCTCCCCAGGCTCAGGTGATCCTCCCACCTCAGCCTCCTGAGGAGCTGAGACTACAGGTACATGCCACCATGCCTGGCTAATTTTAGTATTTTTTGTAGAGATGGGGTTTCATCATGTTGGCCAGGCTGGTCTCGAACTCCTGGGCTCAAGCGATCTGCCCACCTCGGCCTCCCAAAGTGCTAGGATTACGGGCATGAGCCACCAGGCTGGGCTCATTTTCCTTTATTCTGATACTATTTTCTCATCAGCTGCAAACAGCATTTTATCTAGAGGCTCACAGCAGCACAGTTACAAGACTGGGTTTGAGTCCTGCCTCTACCATCACCATTGTGACATTGGGCAACTTATATATAACCTACCTGTGTTTCAGTTTCCTCATTTGTTAAAAAGCAACAACAACAAACTACTGCTTCATGGGATTGTTATGAGGACTCAGAACAATGTTTGGGCACTATGTAAATATTTGTCATTATCACATATTCCCTAATTCTCTGCAATCACATTGCCAAGCAGAAGTGGATTAAAAACAAACAAACAAAAAACTCCATTAAAAATGAGAAGAAAAAATAATGTGCCTCTAGGGGCTTTAACTAATCTATGGGCATAGAGATGCCAGGCCCAGTTTCATTACTAGGATGATTAACAGCTATGCTGGCCTTTGCTCTGTGGCCGAAAACTACTATTGTCTCATTCTCTACCCAGGGCTCAGAGCGAGATTTACACATGAAGATATTCAATTAAGCATTAAAACTTTTTAACGTTTGTATGTAGCTTTTGTTACAAAAAAATTAAAAAAAAACAAAAACCCTTAATATGTACTGTTTTGAATAAGTAATGCACACTTAGAATAAAATTCAAATAGTACAGAGTTTATAGGGAAAAGAAAATTTCCCCTTCTCTCCTACTGCTAGCCTAGCAATTTCCTGCCTCAGAGGTAACATGATTATCACCTGGTTTTCATATCGTTCCTGAGACGAAGTAACATTTAAAACAGGGGAAAGCAATTATCATATCGAACTACTTGGTTACCATTTGTCATGAGAAATGTCATTAGCAGGAATCTTTTTTTTTTTTTTTTTTTTTTGGAGATGGAGTTTTGCTCTGTCGCCCAGTCTGGAGTGCAACAGCATGATCTTGATTCACTCCAACCTCTGCCTTCTGGGGTCAAGTGATTCTCCTGCCTCAGCCTCCCAAGTAGCTGAGATTACAGGTGTGCACCACCACACCCGGCTAATTTTTGTACTTTTAGTAGAGATGGGGTTTCACCACGTTGGCCAGGCTAGTCTTGAACTCCTGACCTCGTGATTCACCCATCTCAGCCTTCCAAAGTACTAGGATTACAGGCATGAGCCACTGTGCCCGGCCAGCAGGAATCTTTTAACAGCATACAAAAGGCCCTACATTGGTAAGTGAAAAAAACACAAAATTATCTTTAAAGTATGATTCCAGTTCAGTTTAAAAAAAGAAATATGTCCAAAAATTAAAAGTGGTTGCTTCTGTGTTGTGAAATTAAGGTGAAAACCAACCTTAATTTAATTCCCCTACATCTATCAATCTTTTTAAAAACTTCTGAGGATGCTGTACACTGAACACCTATTTCACAACCAGGAAAGAAAATTACTCTGAGGTCACATCATTTTTTCTTATTATTGTTTAATACTGCCACCAAATCTGAAAACAGTATCTGGCTTTTGAGTGTCACCTTCTTAAAAATTTTCCAACCCTTCCATTTCCAAAATGGAATTGAGAAAAAAAGAAATTATAATCATAAAGTGATCAAGATTAATTGTTTCATAGGAGATTTTCATGTCTTTCATTACCAAACAATTGTTCTTTTCAGAGTAATCACCCTGGTAGACCACACATTTATTTTTAAGATAAGCCAGCTTGGAATTCTTTTTCTGGAAAGACTCTGTAGCCAGTTCACAAAGCCACAAACACCAGACAATGTCAATCTTCACAATGACACAAGGTATGTAACCCATGCCATCTGCACAAGAAGTATATCTGCTATTTCATTTGGGTGGCATATTAATATAAGAATCTATGCAACTATGAAAACCAACTAGATGTATGATATAATTTAGATGAAGTAAAAAGCACGCAAAACAACAGGATACATTATTTTCAGAAGAGAGAGACTGTGCACACAGGCACCTAGGCTTCGTTCCCCTCAGCTCAGGTCGGAAGATTGGGGGTGGAGGGTGCAGTTGACAAGGTTCCACAGCTCTGGCCCAGAGTGTTTTGTAAAGGGTCAAAGGCTCCACTAACCCTCATGCTGGCGAAGTGGGGACACATGTGCAGACTCACTGTGATTAAGATGTACTATGAATGGGGACAAAGGCCATCCCAGATCAGAGGCTAGTCTGTCTATGCAAAGTCACCATGGGTGTGGGGGACAGAAACCTCAAGTTATCATCCCCATTCATCATCTGCTCTTCAGAGCTACTCAAAGTTTACACCTGCCACTGGGACAAACTAGGAAGGGCTCTGTGTTTGGCTATTTCTTCCCTAAAACTGCAAGTGAGGAGAGAGAGCAGTAGTGTGGCAGGTTCTACCTGTGCATACTGCTGCCCTGGCCCTGAGCAGTGAAGCAGGCAGGGCTTCCCTCACACAGTCATCTGAGTCTAGCTCCTAAGCGATCCCTGCAGAGGGAAACCTCAGGAGAAGCACTTTTGTGATTTAAATCAAAGGACTATCTGAGGCTACGCAGGGCTCTGACAGAAGAACACGGCCAGGGAACTTACTGAGAGGTCCACAACTGTCTTGATGGCCTTTTCTTTTCTCTTTATGAAGTCATCATCCTACAAGACAAAACAGAGAGATTAAACAAATCCCATGGGAAAATTAAAACTCAAGTGGACCACTCAGAAATCTGCCTTATAAATTGATTTCTCATCATTACTTTGCCTGAAGAAGTCCCAATTTTCTAACAAATTGAAATATATTCTCCATGGGAAAAGGCTAGGAACCCTGCAGATAGCTCCAACATAAATCCCTACACAGCCAGTAAGAAAAAGGGGGTCATAAGGAGTAGTGCTTAAGACAAGAGTTCTCATTTCATATCCTCTTAAGCATCGAAACCTCAGGTAAGTTACTTAACCTCTAAGCCTCAGTTTCTCTGTCTGTAAAACAGGGATAAAAACACCTATCTCAGGGGGCAGTAGGGATTAAAGAATAAAAGCCATAAGATGTGCTGAGACTGGCATGTAGTAAATACATGATGGCTATTAGCTATGATTGTTGTTATTATTATTATTATTAAATTGTTAATATAGGGATGTTCTGGGCAAGCAGCCTCTTAAAAAACTTTATACAAAAATCAACGATTGCTCTTATAAATTAATAAAAGCCCTAGATCAAACACTAAAATTCAGAGAAAATGACAAAATTACAGAGCTTTGCACTCAGTGGCTATGTAAAGAGGCACTAATGATGCCAAGTAGGGGGTGGGAATGTAGGAGAGCCTGAGCTTACTTTGCTCCTTGGTGGGGAGTCTCTAAGTGTGCACTCTGGTTCTCAGCGGGACAAGAAAATCCCAATACTGACCTCAGGGAGACTGTAAGTCTTCTGGAACTGGGATACAGAGTAGGAGCGGATATAGTCACCCATCTCTTCTTTCGTTTCTATAGCTCGTTTCACCAGCCACTGGGGAAGAAAGTGAAAACACATGAGTTGCTAAGGACAAAATCCCACTGCATGAAGGCCAGTTCAGACATGGCACAACTCATGAACTCAAACCAGCATAGCTGAACTGACCAGGTGATAAGAAGCTATCAACACATGCTGTCCTATAGGAAAAGCAACCAGCTGGGCATCTGACATGTTAAGATCCAATGGGACCTAGTACTGAGTAGCCATACAGGAGCTTTAAAGCCTTACTTCATATCATCGAGCCTCAGTTTTCCTTTCTGTAAAAGTATATCAGTTCCCTTCACCTCACAGAGCTAACATAGGAGTAAATGAAATCACAAGTAGTAGAGTGATTTGTAAATACCTGAAGCACAAAACGAACAGAGCTATCTCCCAACTTCCTGGTCCTACTGGCAGATCTTCATATAAATCTTTTTCTTATGCTCCTTACCCCACAGACCAGGGAAAGGGAGAGAGCCACAGAGAATGCTAGTGTAACTCCCCATCTGACAGATGAAAAATTGTCCAACATACTCAAGATTCGAGAGTGGTGCATACTGAGTACACAGCTGAAGGCACTGGTTTATCCTGACATTCACAACATTCTCTCTTAACCCTCACAACTTTGGATAGTACTGGCTGAGTTTCACAGAACCTGAAGTGCCGGGAGGCTATATAACTTACTCATGGATCCATAGCTAGCAAGCTGCAAAGCTGGGAGTCACAACTCAAGAGACTATTCTACAGCGAAGGCTGGACAAATGGTTTTATGAAATGTTTCCCAGCTTTGTTAGGCTGATATCCAGAAACAGCTGCTCTTCACTTCTCCCAACTGAAAACTCCAGTTATTATCATTAAAACACCACCCCACTAAAACCTGCAGAAGATCCAGCCACTCTGAGGGTAAAGGTGTAAAGTGTAAAAAGAGCCTTTGCTTCTCCTCCCCGGTTCTTCATTCATTCCCTTAATTACTGATGAACATCACAGAGGGGGTGCCTCTCCCCCTCCAGAGAGAGCTACTACATCTCAAAAGCAGTTTTTGGATAGCAGCTGTGTTTCGCCAACAGCGTATCACACTTGGTGAGGGTCAGCTACCTAGGAAAGCAGGCACATGGCACATAACATGGTGCTGCACGATGCGCCTGCAGGGATGGGAAGAGATGCTTGTTCAAAAAGCGCAGCCAACTCAAGTAAGCACATGTTTAGGAAACAGCTGCTCAGAACAGAGCAAAAAACTCTATGAGGAATATTCCTTGCTGTTAGTATCATCCACATATTTCTACCACTTCACCCCCAAACAGTGACCTCAGACAAAGACTAAAATCCAGAAGCAGAGAGAGGAGATCAGAGAGCACTCAGAACGATTGTAGCCCCTCACCTGTACCCATCCCAGTACAACTAAGTGGCCCAGGACAACTAAGAGCCAACTAAGGCAGTTGACTCATTGCTCAACTCAATTTAGCTCTGCTTTCTTTTGAATTGGGAGACACAGTTTCTGGCTTTTCAATCTGCTTCCCTTTCAGAGCTGCTTCCACTAATCCCAGACCTACCCTGAGTTACCGCCTGGCTGGATCCTGGAGAGCACGATCCCATTAGGAAGGGAAAGCTTGTTGAGTCCTGACAGACGTTTTGGAGTTTCTAGCATGAAAGGCTATAGAGGGAAACTCTTGGACAGCCTATCTCTGCCACAGGTTCCCTCGCACTCAAGAAAAATATCGACCTTCACAGGAGTCACATGTCCGACACAGGAGAAAAAGATATGATCTAGAACCACCAGAGGCCAGAAATTAGATCTGTTTTTTCTTGGCTGGCATCCAGACAGTGTTACTACAGCTTTGCTAAACTGGTGTGAACACAGGTGATGGGCTTCCAGAATCACATAAGAGAAGTAGGTCAACGGCTTACAACTGCTGGTCTGTGATTATTCTTTCACTGGTGCCCACGGGGGACAAACAAACAAACAAACAAACAAAAACAGGCAAAAGCTACAGGCATATGGTAGGTTTCATCATTGTTAAATGCATTTAATTTGAAGGATTGCTTTTTTCTGAGTTTGAGAATTAAATGGCCATTATTTTATGAAATGATAAAGCAAGATTGTAGTCATTTTTTAAAGTGTCCTTGCCTGGCAAACTACAGGTGGCAACCCTAGGCCAACCTCCATTTTTGCTTTAAAATTTTACAGGTCCATGAAATTAAGAAATCGTAACCACTAGCCTGGGCCCTCCCATCCAGACAAACCCTCTAGCATTCCACTCACAATGGAGAACATTTAGACCTTCAAAACACCCAGCTGACTGCAGATCACTTCCCATTCTTCTCACAGCCTGACTAGATTTTTTGCCTCCAAAGTCCTAGCGTAGGGTTAAAAAAGGTCTAATCTCTAGAGATCCATATTTTGGGGGAAAGATAACAACTTCACAGTTTGACGATGTTGGAGGTTTCAATAACAATCAACACAGGGCCCCAACTTCCTATTTTCATAAAAATGATCAGGTAGTGTCCCCTTGTATCAGAAAGACAGAAGGGCTAACAAACATACTAATCAATTTTAAGGTAAAGTCTTGGCTTCAAATTTACAAATTTCATGGCATTCAACTTGAAGTCTAGCGGAGGGGAAGATTCAATACTTAACAATAACAGAAACTACATAACACAGAGCACTTGCCAAAATGTTCAGTCTTTCATCTAAGTGCTTTAGACATACAACTAACTTAATTCTCATCCTATCAGGTAGGTGCTATTACTTATTTCAATTTAACAGAGAGAAAGTTATTTACCCAAGGTCACACAGCTAGAAAGTGGCAGATTTGAACTCAGGAGGTCTCCAGGGTCTTGACCCCTATATTTCATAATCTTAACACAGAACTAGCAAACTTGTAGCTTCTAGGGCTGTGTAGCTTCCTTCTCGGAGGCTGCATGAAGGGTGGAGTGGGAAAAGCACAGGCTTGGAGACACAGTTTAGACTGGAACCTTTGCTTAACCACTCACTAGCTCTCGGCCCTTAAGCAAATCAATCACCTTCTCTCAGTCTCATTTTTCCCAAATGTAAGGAAATTACATTTCTCACTTTCCTCAAATGTAAGGGATTAAAATAAATGCTTCAAACAACTCTATTAGGGTCAGATGGGAAGTAGTGTTCACACAGCGGGCAACACACCTGAGTCCCTTTGCTCCTCCTCTTTCTAAGATGCCTAGGGGAAACCCATAGAGAAGAACTGCATAGAACGCAGTTGATCCAAGGAATCTGTGGCAGATGGGTTCCAGGACGCTCTAGATACTAATCCACAGGTGCTCAAGTCCCTGATATAAAATGGCACAGTATTTGCATACAAACTAAACACATTCCCCCCACCATAGTTTAAATCATCTCTAGTTTATAATACCTAATACAATGTAAATGTTATGTAAATAGTTGTTATACTGTATTTTTAAATTTGTATTATTTTTCCAGCTTGCTAAATTTGTATTACTTTCTATTGTTGTATTGTTATTTTTATTGTTTCCCCCCAACACCCCCAAACTTTTTTGATGCATGGTTCATTGAATTTATAAATGTGGAACTGTGAATATGGAGGGCCAGCTGTTGGGAGCTGTATGGCATGAGCCACTTAATCATAGGGGTTTGGGAAATAGCTGGAGGCAAAGAGAAGTCTCCCCTTTAGGCATTTACCCACACGAACTGAATATCTATAAACTGTAAGACATTCTGGTAGGTACTGGAAACAAAACAATAAGCAAGACAGCCACACAGACTTGCTCTCATGCAGCTTAGAGTCTAATGGGAGAAGCAGATAAACAATCACACACACGGATATACATGATTACAAACTGTAGTAAGAAAGATTCTGGTGAAGGAAGGGAATGTGGCCATAGGAGTGCATACCACGAAGGAACATGCTGTGGATTAGGGGATGAGGGAAAGCTTTCTTGAAGAGGTTTGGTGGAGCTGAGATCTGAAGGGTTGAAGCAAGCCATATGAATTAAACAGGTAAGGAGAGAATGGAAGAGCATTCCAGCCCAAGGAACCAGCAATGCAAACGCACTGTGGCAGGCGGAAGCATAATAAACCTGGGGAAATGGGAATGAATATCAGAGAGTGACAGAACAAAAAGAACAAAAAGCAAGGAATGAAATCAAGCTGAATAGGTCAAAAGGGAACAGAGCATACCAGGCTATAGAGTTCTGTCTTTACCAAACAGGCAATGCAAAGTCAGATGAGAACATTCAAAGATCTTATCAGGTGACAGCATGAAACTAGGGTACATGCGGGACCGGCAATCTTCTGAAGATGACAAGGAACACCACCATGTTCTGCTGTACCAAATCATTATCACACCCATTACATTCAGGATCCAGGACAGACAGACCAATTACAGGACAAGCCAGGCCCATTACAGGAATTCTGATGTTAAGAGGACAAGAAACCACTCAGAAGCTCTCACCTGAACAACCGGAAATATGTGAATAAAATCCATCCCCTGGATCTGGTGGGGCTCCAACTGGTGTGGGCATTTCATCCTTGGCAGGACCGAGACAATTTTTTCTGATAGAGCTCTGTTCAGAAAAAGCAACAAGCAAAGAGTGAGGTACACTAAGTAGCCTTTATAGCATCTCTAAAGTCTGGGCAGCATCACAGAAGGATCTGGGACTTCTCCATGCCAGGCTAGTCCAGACCATGACAAGTTTCTCCTAGATGACTGCAAAATGAGAAAAATAAGCACAATTTAGTGGTGTGTATGTGCGCGTGTGTGTGTGTGGCCACAAAACTGCCTTCATCCTTTATTCTATCATGTTTTTCTTCCTACTATTTCGATGCAAAATATTTTACTAAATGATGGTGATGTTAGAGGTAGTAGTTGCTATTTTTTAACATCCTTATGTAGTAAGATAAAAAGTTATTAGTGCCCCGTATTCTTTTTACATTTCATTTTACTGATCTACTCTTTCTAAAAGTTTAAAAATAATATTCTAAATATCATTCAGGCAACAATTACCAGATCTTACACCAGGTACCCAGAATATTAACATGAAACATGGAGCCCCATTTCCAAAAGAGATTTGGAGTCCTCTCCAAAATATTTTTAAAATAAACAGTGGCCTTTAATCTTTTGATACTCTAAAATAAATCCTAGCGTTGAGGGAACTGTCTCTCCTCACTCTTATTTCCATACAGAAGAGAGATTTTCCGCGTCTCATGAGGGACACTGGCCTCTCTCCAACACCTCGCCTCAGTCTTCCTCCTATAGGAGACCACGAGGTGGGACTGAGAAGAGAGGAACCAGGCTTCCTGGGGCCTCAGAGTTTTCTTCTCTGTAGGTCAGGAGGTAAGCATCCTCTCCTGCTAGGGAGGTTTCTCAGCTCAGTCTGAGCTGGGGCAGGACAGTTTATGGCAGCAGTGGCGGAGGGATTTGTATGCAAGTCTGTTTTATTGCAGTTTGAAACCTCCTTCTTGAATCAGTAGGCATTTCATCTCTAGCTATGTGATTCCTGTTTCTTACACTATCTTAATTGAATCAGACTCAAGGGGAGAGAAAAGATACTATTCAGTGGTGTGCCTGACCCCAAAGCCATGGTATGTAGCCTGGGAACACTGAGAAGCAGTCACCAGGCATGGTCTTGTGGCCATTTGGAGAAATAGGAGCTTCTGGATCAGCCTACATGAATAGGTTATATTGCCACACAAGACCCTTGAAAAAAATCTTAGCCAGTCACAGCAGCTACTGGGGCCTTATAAACAAATATAGTACTATGCTCTAATAGACAAAGGTCCAGGTAAACAAGGGTCACTTAGTACTAGGTGCTTCAAATCCAACAAGTTTTGGGTCTCCCAAAAGTGTTTCTTGTTCAAAGAAGTCTTGTCCACCTTTATCTTTCTACAGTTCAATAATCCTTCCCAGGAGACAGATACCCTCAAGATGAACATCCGACTCAGGGCTGGGTGAGAGTTATTACTGTCTTATCTGTGATTCATTTAGTAGGTTTCATCCCTCAGTCCTAGTATTAACAGTAACTAGGTGACCTAGGAGCTAAAGTTAAGCAGTCCCCCAGGGAATAATCACTAAGAACACATAAAAAACAGTGTCCGGTATCTGGAAAATAGCTTCACAAGTTGGGACCAAGGTTAAAACTGCTGAGGACAACGGTAACACCCCACTGATCATAAGACCAAATGTCAGGTCCAATTTGTTAACAGAAAAAAATATGGAAGGGGGATTAATCCCTCACTGCACACATTCATAGAAGAAAGGGAGTATCTACCTCCTAGGAGGGAAGCACATAGGAGAATATTTGCTGCCCCCTCATCCTTCCTCCCCAACAGAAGCAGAGGTGAGGAGTGATTTATTCAAAAGTCCTCAGAGGGGCGGGGCATGGTAGCTCACGCATGTAATCCTAGTGCTTTGGAAGGCCAAGGCAGAAGGTCACTTGAGGCCAGGAGTTTGAGACCAGCCTGGGCAACATAGTGAGACCTTGTCTGCATAAAAAAATTTAAAAATTAGCTAGGCATAATGGTGCATTCCTACAGTCCCAGCTACTCAAAAGGCTGAGGAAGGAAGATCACTTGAGCTTAGGAGTTTGAGGGTGCAGAGAGCACTCTAGCCTGGGCAACAGAGTGAAACTCTGTCTCTTAAAACAAAAGTCCTGAGAGGATGAAGAAAATTATCATGCAGCTCTCAGCCACTCCTGGTGCCCTTCCCTTCTAGGCAGCCTGTCTTTGGGACACATGCATCTTTTGTGCCATAAGATGTGCTGCCTGCCCTAGCCTGTAGTTGTCCAGGTCTGCTTGGGACTCGCATGGGATAGCTTGGTAGTGAAACACTAACAAATCCATTTGGCAACATATCTGAGGCTCTCTCTCTGATAAACTTTTTTTAAATTTTGATCTCCATCAGATTTTTATAGCTTATTTAATTTCCTTGAAACTTGTAAGAAGAGATGAGTGTTCAACTGGTTCTGCTGCCTAAACTCCAAGCTTAGCACATGTAAATGAGTATCAGTCCTGGTTTTGCTCAATGCAGGTCCTAACTATCTATACAGGGGCATGTGATCAATACAGCCTTTCCTTAGTTACATTTTGGTTCAGCAGGAGGAGAGCTCCCTCTTGTGGTTTCAGATACATTGGTTTGCATAGAGTTACCAATTGCCTAGCACCACAGTAGCTTAAAAACAAGAGGCTGGGATCCACACCACCATCCAGCCTAACTCCCTGCCTTCAGACACGGCTCTTCCTGGCCACTCTTCAGAGCCAGCCTACTCACCCAGTTCATAAAGGCCCAGAGAGAAGGTTATCACGGGTCATCCTAGGATTTACAACCCTCTTAAACCCACCTCTCAGAAATTACTGCCAAGTCTGGGCAGTCCTGGCAGCCAAGGTGAGGACATGGAGGAAAATGCAGGCAGGCTGGGGGCAGGGAAAGAAAGTAAGAAAGACTTCCAGAAATCTAACAATTCCTTTTCAGCTTCTCCCTGTGGCTCAAGGTGGAGCCCTCAGATTTCCTAAAAATCATAGAAAGTGACAATTACAGAGGTCACCAGGCAGGTTTCCTAGACTAAGACTTTAACACGCCCAGCTGTGATTAGTTTGACTCCTTTAGTTTTTAAGAGTGTTCAGTGCACTGTTTTCTTCACCCCTGCAAACAGTCTGAAAGAGAATGAATTAAGCCTGGGTGTAAATTCAAGCTCCACCACCAACTCTGAAACTTTTGTCAAGTAACTCGGTCCAGGTCCAATACTCCTATCATAAAACTAGGGATAACCCCTACCCAAAGGCGGCAGTGAAGGTAAAATAATAAAATACACATCCAAGTGCTTGGAACACAGATGCCCAATACAATGTCTGTTGTTGAAATGAACTCAGTTATAAATGTAAAATCTCATTTACGGGCCTCTGGCCATAGGACTCTCTGTTAATGGGGCTTCAGAAGAGGACAGAAGTAGAGGATAGAAGCTTATGGAACTCTCAGCAAAGAAGGATGACAGGGAACAAGGACTTCAATTGGGCACATAAAGAAGACAGCTTGAGAGGCAACCATGCCCTCAACAGGCAAGTGTGCTCCTTGGACATATGTCCAGCCCACCCATTAAATTGACTAGATATACTGGAAAACTGCAAACATAGGACGGTTTTAGTCTAAACTGTACCTAACCAGAAACTCTATGGTGCGGGGAGAACTCCAAACAGAACACATTCCAAAACCAAACAGACATGATTTTTAGATGACTCAGTACCCTGTGGCTATAATGTCTTCTACAGATAATAAAGAATGAGCTACCTGATGCACTGCTGAGTCTGGTGGGTCCTTAGTCACGTAAACCCGTCTCCAGCTTTGCCCACAGTTACAGTTCATGGCTCTGCACTTAAGAGACACACATCAAGCACTTACCAGAGAATATAACACATCCTCAATCCCTTATCCAAACCCTTTGAGTCAGATGTGTTTCAGAATTCTGAAATTTTTAGATTTAGCTCCTTAGAATACCTAAGGGGTATATATTATATATTATGTAAGAACCCAGGAAAATCTAGAGTCACACTCTGTAATAAAAAAAAATTTATTCAGCAAAACTTATGAATAGTCACATAAGTGGATCAATAAAGCTATAAATTCAGTCAATTCAGGTCATGTTTTGCTTCCAAATAAGCTTTGTATCCAAACTCTAAAAGAAGAAAAAACAGTTCTCAGTGTCTTTTAGATTTCAGAAATATGAAGGAATTGAGACGACATAGAAAAATACTGTGTTCCCCTATCTATTAAAAGTATAATGGAATGCTGCCACTGGAGTCTATCATATCCCCTAAGGATATCGAAATGAAAATGGGGCCTAACAACCACTGGAAAACTCAAGGGGAATTTAGGAAGAAAGCACATGTGGAATCAAAGAAATGGCAAAACTAGACAATGCAATGAAAAGAAATACCAGCACATCAAGGGTGCCACAGGTATAGGAAGCAATGAGGTCAAAGATAGAAGCTTCCAAGAAGAGCATCCTCAAGAAGACAATGAATTCATGCTAGTAAACAGCCTGATTAAGAAGCATAGACCAGGCATGGTGGCTCACACCTCTAATCCCAGGAGGCCAAGGCGAGAGGACCGTTTGAGCCCAGGAGTTTTAAGACCAGCCTGGACAAGATGGTGAGACCCCATCCCTACAAAAAATTTAAAAATTAGCTGGGCATGGTGGTGTATGCCTGGGCTCTAGCTACACAGGAGGCTGAGATAAGAGGATCACTGGAGCCCAGGAAGTCGAGGCTGCAGTGAGTGCTGTTCACAGCACTGCACTCCAGCATGGGTGATAGAGCAAGACCCTGTCTCCAAAAAAAGCTGGCTGATCTGAGCTACAGCTAAAGGCATATGCTTCTTTTGTCAACCAGGAAAAAAAAAAGGCAATTAGAAACTTAAGGTGAAAATGCTGTATAAAGTAAATTACAACATTCCTGATGCTCAGTAACTCACAGATACCACCTCCACTTGGCTGCCAGAAACACAGGAGCAAATCTTTGGCCAATTGTAGGAAAACAAAGCATTTTGTGATCCATCACTGTGGTTGTCTTGTCCCCAACTCTGCCTTTTGTCCCCATTTTTTTCCCCCTTTTGCTTCATTTTCTCACCATTATTGCTTCATATGTTATTTATAAGACATCTTTGTTCCTTTTGGAAGTGTTTTCTCTTGGAAGAGGGTAATACTTCAGAGAAATGAATAAACAGACTGTCACAGAATCATGCATATCTGAGGTCAGGAATCTCTCCTGACGGGTCAGAGAACTGAGGCCCACAGAAGGAGTGGCTGTCCGAAGGTCACACAGAGGCCCACTGGAGGGCTGGGAGAAGAACCAGGTATCCCAAATGGTGTAATGAAATGGCCAGGCCCCTGGTGAGCCGGTGCACTACAAAAGACTGGGCAGGGTATGCTCAGGTGAGATCTCTAGCAAGGAGCCCATGCTGCTTTCTCTCGAAGACAAGGCAAAGTGAGGCTCTGCCTTACACAGAGGCAATGGGGAAGGAAAGCATCTCCTTTCCTCCGACTAACCAGCTGCCACCCGTATTAGCTGTCTTTGGAAAGATAAACTAAGTAGTCACTACAAACTTTGATCTAGCTGTATGGCCTTGGCGTCTTTCAGTCTCAGTTTCATTTGTAAAGCAGGGATAATCCCTATTGTAACAAAAGCTAAACTATGCCAAGTGTCCAACCAACTTCTGGCACACAGTGGACACTCAAAAGTTAGTTCCCTTCTCCCCACCTTTACGTTTTCCATAGAAAAACTTACATTTTTTGACCTATCGTAGAGTTTTCTTGAAAGAGCAAATCAACATCTACATCAAAGTTGCAAGTGGTGATACACCAAGTCATTCCTCCTACTACCTGCAAGACATAAAGAAAATATGTTTTCTCTTTCTCGTTTGGGGAGAATGGAAGAAGTGAAAGGTAGGTGAATTATAAATAGCTCTAACAGACTCAGTAAACATACAAAATTATGTATCTTGAGAGAGAGAGAATGTGTCCTCCTTACCCCATCAACTATAATTAATCTAAAATGGCACTGTTACGGAAAACTTCCTGCAGTGACAGAAATATTCTGTTATCTGCAAGGACCAGTACGGTAGCTACTAGCCACATGTGGCTGCTGAGCAGTTGAAATGTGGCTTGCATGACTGAGGAGCTGACTTTTATTATTAAATGAACATACTGTACATAGATCCTCTTTATAGTCAAAAGGACAGACATTCATTCTGTGTTTTATAGACCAGACACATGGGCAGCAAGGCTGACATTTTGTTTCCATACATCTTACTTTTCTTATCTACCTGAGATGATTATCTACCTACTTTTCCCTTAGGAATTCTCTGAGATGCAAATGAGAGTAAGACTAAAAACCCATTGTGAAACAAAATCCTTTTCAGACACAGTCTGATATTAGAAAAAAACAATAGTAAATCTTACCCCTGGCTGTTTAAGACACCTATGAGTTGCCCAATAAAAATGCAGATTCCAGGACCCAAGCCCAGACCTAGCTAACCAGAATTTCCATGAGTGAATCATGGGTTCTGTATTATAAAATAACCCAGAGTGATTCTGCTATGCACAGCCGGGACTGTGACCCCATGGAGCACTCAGCACTGTCTTCCATAGCCTGCCCTGTCTGATTTGAATGCGTCCTTTCTGAGCACAGTCCACTGTGGCACTTTTCTGCATCATGCCATTTATTCTGTGCATGTTGATTTACTTGTCTCTCATCCCTACTCTACAGAAATTGGGCTCTTTGAGAACTGTGCCTTTGTTTTTTCTTTGTGTCTTCAACACCTATTACTATGATTTGTGCATCATCATTCAATGTTCTGCTGAATTAAAAGGTTTCTTCACACAGTGATCTCTCTCTCGTCCTAAATCAGAGCATTCACCATCCACAGAATATCTGGCAACTGTCTGTGAGCACACTGACTTGGGATAGCTCATTATTAACTCTGATTATTTTATTTTCCATAAGTTTGATAATCCCCACACGAACTTTAAATTCCTTGAAAGAAGGAACTATTAATTTTGCTTCTCTGCATTTCCTAAAGCTTTGTGCACAGAAAAGGAACTGACATATTCACTGATGCATCATTTCTGTCTTTGAAAAGAAGTCTGAACACTTCCATAATGAATCTGAATTAGGAAGAAGTGGAAACACAGACATGGAGGAAGTTAAAACATCATCTCTTCCTCCTTTCTTTGCCATGATTAACCATGTCATTCTGACAAAAGATAGTCTAATGGTTAGAAAGATTTCCCCTTACCTTGTCAAAGGGTGACAAGCCTTTAATTCTTGCCCTGAAATACCCAGCTGCAACCAAGAGCTCCAGAATTTCAGTCAACTTGACATTTTGTTCTTCATCTTCTCTTGTTTCCACCTAAAACAAAAGGTAAAAGTGTGGCTGGTAAAAGCTATCCTGAATAAAGGAACACTAGGTATATCCCCTGATGCCACAATCTCATTGCCAAGGAGCAGATTACATTGGCTACATCACCGCAATGGATTCTCTGAAAATTCAGCAAGTGTCACACAGAAGCATGTGGACAGTGTTGCCGGAGTCACAAATGGGCCCCAGTCCTCAACAGGCTGTTAATCTTCATAGCTGAGGGAGACACATGCCAGGTATACACTAGCATACACTACTAGTAGTAGTATACACTACTCATCACATGCTGAAGGAATCCAGGAAAAAGGAAGGTTAGAACACAATACTTCCTTTTTCTCTAACCCATGGTTTACTTTGACAGTCTTCTCAAATAGATTATGACTCCTCACACACAGGAACAAGGTTTTATGGTGTTTTCTAAAAAAAACTTTACACTTAGGACTCAAGGCCGGCGTGGTGGTTCATACCTGTAATCCCAGTATTTTGGGAGGCTGAGGCGGGTGGATCACTTGAGGTCAGGAGTTCAAGACCAGCCTGGCCAACATGGTAAAACGCCATCTCTACTAAAAATACAAAACTTAGCCAGGTTTAGTGGCCCATGCCTGCAGTCCCAGCTACTCAGGAGGCTGAGGCACAAGAATTGCTTGAACCCAAGAGTCAGAGGTTGCAGTGTGCCAAGATTGCACCACCGCACTCCAGCCTGGGCGACAAAGCAAGACTCTATCTCAAAAACTTTATACTTAGCGGGGCATGGTGGCTAATGCTTCTAATCCTACCAATTTAGGAGGCCAAGGGGGGGCCAATCACTTGAGGTCAGGAGTTTGAGACCAGCCTGGCCAACATAGCAAAACCCCACCTCTACTAAAAATACAAAAAATTAGCTGAGCATGGTGGTACACACCTGTAACCCCAGCTACTCGGGAGGCTGAGGCACGAGAATCACTTGAACCCAGGAGGCGTGGGTTGCAGTAAGGCAAGACTGTGCCCTTGCACTCCAGCCTTGGCAACAGAGCAAGACTCTGTCTCCAAAAAACAAACAAACAAACAAAAAAAACGTTATATTCATCCAGAAGTTACTGACAAGAGGCATAGAAACAAAGAAGAGAATTCAAACGTGTATCCCTCTCTGTATTTCCCTTTTTGAACTCGAAAACAAATATATGAAAGTCTTCCAACCGAGATATATTAAAGGGTGATTATTGCCACATAATAGGATTGCCTTAAAAATAATAAATTCATCTAATATACGTATATCAGTATTTTGTTTTTGTTTTTTGTTTTTTGAGACAGAGTCTCACTCTTTCGCCCTGGTTGGAGTGCAGTGGCATGATCTCGGCTCACTGCACTCAGTTCCGGGAGGGAACCTCCACCTCCAGGGTTCAAGCGATTCTCCTGCCTCAGCCTCCTGAGTAGCTGGAACTACAGGCATGTGCCATCACACCTGGTTAATTTTTTTTTTTCTTATTTTTGTATTTTTAGTAGAGATGGGGCTTCACTGTGTTAGCCAGGCTGGTCTTGATCTTCTGACCTCATGATCAGCCCGCCTCGGCCTCCTAAAGTGCTGGGATTATAGGCATGAGCCATCGCGCCTGGCCCTATATCAGTATTTTGATTGAAAATTTTTAATTTATATCCTCCTTTTACCCCAGATCTTTATTTAATACTGAAATCCATCTAAATATTCTAATACTCCTTCATCTATTTATTATCATGAACTACCTTTCCTCTCTTCTATTGCTGCAGAAAATAAAAAACCATCTCTCTATATAAAACACCAATAAGATACCCTGGTTCACATGCTCATACTCATCTCTGAGTCCTCCCTTACCCAACAATGCCTGTTAAGTCTTCCTTTACTATGCATCTCACATTTATCTTCCCTTCCCTTTTATTCATACTTCATTCCAGGACTCCTGCAAATGCTTCTTCATCTTTCTTCCTTTGTTTTGTTCACCCCTTCCTAAATCACAGCTTTCATGTTATCCCTCTTTAGCTCACCCTCCCAGCCCTTATCAACAATGCGCCACACACACTGCCTGTAAGATAAACTCCAGATGTCTGGTTTCACATTCAGATCTTTGGCCACCAACCTATCTTTTCAGGTTCATCCTTTACCCCGAAAACAATCAAGACATGGCCATGGCTGATATTCTCTAACCATTGAGAAATCACTTTCAAATTCTAGCTCCCATTCAACGCCATCCCTCACAAGTCTGTCTTGAAATGGCCACTCCCTTCTGCATTTCTACTTTACTTATAGTCTATGCTGTACATATAACTAAGTATCAACATCTTCTAAGTGAGATATCTAGTGTTATGTACATGCTTGACTTTCCAACTGGACTATTGATGGGTTAAGGACAGGAGTATATATTATATACTTGGGTTTACTACTCTGTATCAAAACAGCATTAAGTTCAAAGGACACACTTATTAAATAAAGAATGATCTACTAATGCTTACAAAAAGTAAATGAACCTAAACTAGTCATGCATTAATAAAATGTTTCGGTGGTCACATCCCTGACAATGGAAACAAGTTTATTTTAATGTATACACTGCCAGGAAAGGGAGTATACATATTAAAATACAGTTAATACAGAATTATTAAAGTGACTGATAATCCCCTGCAATAGAGTAGGAGTGGTGTGGGGGAGGTGACATCACTGAGCTACATCCGTCTCTGAAATGACCCTGGTCCAGTCCATTAAGGATCCTGAAGATCAGCATTCACTAGTTCCTAGTGGACATAAAAATTTTAAGTAATATAAATTATTCACACCTTTTCTCCCTTCTGCAAAAAATCTGGGATGGTTGAGAAACATCTACAAGTGAAAACACTCTAAGAAAAGAGAAGCTAAATAGTAGTTGTAGTTCAAGAAGACAGAGCAGAAAAAGAAAATGAGATAATATAAGTACTTTCTTAAAATTTCTGGGGTGTAAAATAGGAACACTTCATTTGTTCAATCATTTATTGTGAAAACACTTACAAGAAGAAGACAAAAAAATAACAAATGAAAAAATGGGATCATCACTGCCTCAACACCTATCTAATGGGCACCCACTGGCCACCCCACTACAGATGCAGGGCCCATGCTTCCATCCACTCACCCCTAGAATGGAGAAGTTTACTTTTGCAATACAATTTGTGAAGTAATTGTGGCACGAGACACTAAATGGGAATGTATGACTCCAAATTCACTTAACAGATTAACACTGAAATGAAATGGAAAAGAGCCATTGCCTGATCCACAGGGAATGAAAGACCCTCACTTGAAGCAATGAAAATCCACCAGGCTGGTTAATACATCCAGTTGTTAAAACTAAATTTCTGACAAAGATGAACAACAATGAGCTCTTACACCAAGCCCAATAAATTTTCAATTTCCGTCCCCTATAGTTGTTGTAAGCTGGAAGGCAGGGCCCAGTCTAGCTATCTTTGCAAAGGGTTAAAAAGAATGAATTTGAGCCGGGCAGTGGCTCACATCTGTAATCCCAGCTACTGGGGAGGCTGAGGCACAAGAATTGCTTGAACCTGGGAGACAGAGGTTGCAATGAACCGAGCTCACGCCATTGCACTCCAGCCTCAGTGACAGAGTGAGGCTCTGTCTAAAAATAAAAAAAGAACGAAGTTAATGAATTAACTGGTCTAGTGACAGCCTAATAACACAGACTATCCATATTTATATTTACTAGCTTCTGAACTGTATGATAATAATTTGATTATATTCACCCTGACCTCTTAATTGCCCGGAACTGTATCAGGGTCTTGGAAAACAATGATGAATCAGACCTGGCCTCCTAGCAGTCAGTGAAAGTTTAAACGAAGGACATACAGCGGCAGGTTGCTTTTTATTTATTTATTCATTTTTCCCTAGAAAGACCTCCACTGATAGTACTGCGGAACATTGGGCTGGAGGGATTTAAACTAGAACGTGGGAGACCACATAGGAGTCAACAACAAAAGGCCAGGCAAAAACTTGATGAGACCCTACAATAAAGAAGTGGCAAAAAAGAAAACTGCAAATGTCACAGTACAAATCCTATTGTTCACTATCCTGGGTCCCATCAAAGCAACGTGCATGTAAGGTTTTACCTAATACAGCGGTTCTGACAACATTATGCTTGTTAGGTTTTCTTAAGACAACAAAATGGACTTGCATTCTGGGAGCACACACTGACAGACAAATCTGTCCTCTCATCACTATATTCCCAGCTTCTGGACACAGAACACAGTGATCCCTCAATTAGTGGATACTTGTGATAAGAAAGAATTGAGGATTTGGGAGGAGTGCAAAGGAGAAAGATTGGTCACAGGCAGGTAAGCGTGAAGGGACCAGACTCACCAGGTCAAGCAAACAGTCACTGGCCAATGCCTGCTCCAGAACCTTAGGAAAAAGGCAGAGGTGCGGCGTGGATTCCATTTCTCTCCAGAATCCAATAAACTAGACTAGCCTTTGAGTAAAATCAACTGAAAGGGACGACAGATGCAAACTACCTATGAGATGCTAAGTGATATTTGTAGCCAAAAGAAAATGAATACACTTTCCCTGTATTCCCAGCAAACGTGGAAATCCGCAAACCACTCCTGACTCTCCCTAGCACTAAGTGAGTACTCAACAAACACCTCTGGAAAAGAACCCCGCCCTCTTCTGGAGAAGCTGCAATGTTTCCGCCCAGAGCTCGGTCCCCCCCAACACAGCACCCCAGGCATGCGTCCCACCCCGAACGCCCAGGCGCGCTGACCCAGCGGGACACCTCCCTGGTGCGCGCAAGTCTCCCAAACTTCCTCCCGCCGCCCCGGTCCGGGTCAATTCAAGGAGGGTAGCATTCCCTCCCGACAGCAAGGCGGGTGGGGCTGGCCGCCGGGACCCTGCGGGGTGGCGGTAGGCGTCCCAAGGTCACCGCCCTTCGCACCACCCGAGCCCGGACCGCCTCGGACAGCGGTCTCGTGACTCCAGCGCCCAGCAGCCTGGGCTAGCCCTGCAGTTTGTGGTTGGGGAGCCTGTCCCGGGCAGGGGGAAAGGTGGGAGCCCAGGGACCCCCGGCGCGTGGGGCTGCGTCAGGGCAGGTGTCGGGCTGGGAAGGCCACCTCCGCCCCAAGAGACCCGGGAGCGGCTTAAGTTTGTCCCTACCCGCCCGCTGCTCCCTGCCCATGCAGAGGCACCCGCTCCCCGCCTCCAAGAAGAGGGTCGGCGCTTCCCCGAGGTGGATACACCTGAGGAAGGGGGCGGGGCGCCCCTATCGTACCCAGGGCCCGCTCAGTCAGCCGCCCCGCGGCTTGGCCCTCTCTTAGCAGGAACCCCGACGTGTCAGGGAAGGAGGAGGCGTTCTTACCTCCGGGAGACCCTGGCCCTCCGGCCCCTTGGGCAACCCCATGATCCGACCGGGCTGTCGTAAGGCGAGAGCGAAGCCCGCCAAGCGTCCGGAGGAAGCTGTCCCTGTCGCGGAGCTGCTACCGGGGTAAGTGCAAAGCGGAAACTTCCTCCGCCACCGCCGCCGCCGCTGCTGCTGCCGCTGGCCGGGAGCGCCACGGCCGGGCAGAGCATGCGCGCTGGGGCCTGAGCGCGGCGCCACTGCGCCTGCGCCACAACAGCCCGGGGAGCAGTGGGCTGGGCTGCGGGTTCTGGGGTTGTGCTGGATCTTCGCGCCGATTCTCTGAAGTTTTCTCCCAGGCGCTGCTTGAGAGGTGCTCCTCCTGCATCTTGAGGACATTTTGCATTTCAGCTCCCTTCCCATCTCGCTGGCATCGGATACCCCAAGTGGGTCCTGTCTCCTCCGTGAATCAGACTTCGGAAACTCCCTCGCTTCAGGGTCAGAGTCCAAGTACACATGAGCTTGAGGATTCTGAATGCATGCCCAGCTCTAGCCCTTAGAAACGCACGCTTGGACAGATTTCTCCATATACATCCCAGGAACGGACCCCTTGAGAAGGAATTCTTCATGCCGGCTGCCCTCTCCAGCGTCCTGGCCAGTGGCATCGCGATCCCAGGAAACCTCGCTTTAGATATTGCCCACCACCCCGCCCCATTCACGGTTTCTGGGTCTTCCTGGAGGAATGACATCTCAGAGACTGCGGACTCCTGTGTTCACGTCATTTTAGCCGCCGCGTCCCTTATTTGGTGTACCCCTTGTCGGTCCCGGAGGATGGCAACTAGACAAGAGGTCGCAGGCCCCCACACCCGCTCCAAAACGGCTCTTGGCTTTTTGTTTCTTTTAAGCGATGAGGAAAGAGATGACTTCCGTGAAAACTTTTGCTGTAGAAGAGATCCTTCCCTCTGTATATGTGTGTGGGATGGGAAGTGTCAGACACTTAGCTCCTTGAGATCAAAAAGGTTTTGTGTTTGCTTTCCTCCCTTCTTTGCATCCCTAGCATCTTTAAAAGAGTAGGCAGGCGCGGTGACACATGCGTGTAATCCCAGCACTTTGGCGGTCGAGGCAGGAGGATCGCTTGAACCCAGGAGTTGGAGACCAACCTGGGCAACATAGTGAGACCTCCATCTCTACAAAAAAATAAGAAAATTAGCCGGGTGCCAGTGGTCCCAGCTAGCCGGTAGGCTGAGGTGGGAGAATTGCTTGAGCCGGGAAGGTTGAGGTTGCAATGAGCTATGATAACACCACTGCACTCCAGCCTGGGTGACAGAGCAAGACCTTGTCTAAAAATTATATATATGTATGTGTGTATATGTATATATGTGTATATATATATGTGTGTGTGTATATATATGTGTGTATATATATATGCAGTGATGTTTTCTATTTTATTTTTATTTTATTTTTGCACCTTTTGTACTCCTCCTGGAGTTTATCCTGATAGACAGTGGTTTGTCTGGAGCCAGAGCTCACAAGTAGTTGGAAGTGCCCTAAGGACGCCATTTTGTTCTTAAATATAACTAGCAAATATTACTCAAAACTGTGCACCATCCCCAACCCCTGGTCCCCAATAATTTGAATAATGTGAATATGTAAGTTAAGGTATTGAGATGGGAACCCTCCTGTGTGGTATATCTTGCTCTTATGCTTTGTAAAGCCAATAAACCTCAATTTCTACTCTCATAACTTCCCAAATGTGTTGTTTTTGTAGTTTTAAAACTGTCCTTCACTGAAATGGTATAGGTTGATGGGGCATGGAGAGTGACAATCATTTGTGGCCACTGTTGAGTGACCAGACAGGTACTGATGCCTAGGAACAGGTAGTAAGATCTCATATAGCAGGCAAGCCTAAACAGCTGTATATAATAGCAGCCTGGAGACTAAGACCTGGAGAATAACAGGACTCAGGCCATACCCTGAGTTTCCTGTTATAATACTTCTGCAATGTTTTAAATAAGGACGAGTAGCTAATTTCCTCAGTAAAAAACTGTCCTTCCCAAGTGTGGTGGCTCATGCCTGTAATCCCAGCACTTTGAAAGGCCAAGGCGGGCGGATCACCTGAGGTTGGGAGTTCGAGACCAGCCTGACCAACATGGAGAAATGCTGTCTCTACTAAAAATACAAAATTAGCTGGGCGTGGTGGTACGTGCCTGTAATCCCAGCTACTCGGGAGGCTGAGGCAAGAGAATCACTTGAACCTGGGGGGCGGAGGTTGCGGTGAGCTGAGATTGTGCCACTGCACTCCAGCCTGGGCAACAAGAGCGAAACTCCGTCTCAAAAAAAAGAAAGAAAAGAAACTGTCCTATGTTGTTACGACAGGTATAGGGTGACAGCAACAGAGTTGAGGGGCATGGGGCATGCTTAAAAAAAATAAATAAATAAAAATAAAAAAAAAAAAGGTCTCAGCAAAACAGCCATGATTATCAGTCAAGAAAGTTTGAACAGGGCTAGGTGGCACCTCTTGTAGCCCCAGCAACTTGGGAGGCTGACGCAGGAAAATCGCTTGAGTTCCAGAGTTCTGGGCTTTAGTAAGCTATGCCAGTCAGATATCTGCACTAAGTCTGGCATCAATACAGTGACCTCCAGGGAGCGAGGTTGCCTAAGGAGTGGTGAACTGGCCCAGGTCAGAAACAGAGCAGGTTAAAACTTCTGTGCTGATCAGTAGTGGGATCATGACCACGAATAACCACTGCACTTCAGCCTGGGCAATATAGAAAGACACTGTCTCTTAAGCAAAAAGAAAAAGAAAGTTTGAGTAGCCCATATTTGAGGGCAGAAACCCTTCACAGTCTTGAAGACCTTTAACAGCCAATGCAGAGAAGGAGGCTTGTGAGGAATCTCTCAGATAAATCCATCTCTCTCCCTTTCCCTTCACTCCAGGTAGCCTCACAGATTGTGTCTCCCTAGTGTGATATCTGAGGACTAGAAATCAGTTATTCTGTCTCTCTTCTGTACACCGAGTACAGAGTCGTGTGATGTTCTTCTAATTGCAAGATTCTTTGGAGCCTCACAAATACTTTCCACTTCCTAGGTAAAGAGGTACCATAGTGATATAGTTTGGATATTTGCCCCACCCAGATCTCATGTCAAAATGTAATCCCCAGTGTTGGAGGTGGGGCCTGGTGGCAGGTGACTGGATCATTGGGGTGCATTTCTCATGAACGGTTTAGCACCAACCCCTTGGTGCTGTCTTCGTGATACTGAGCCACTCATCATGAGATCTGGCTGTTTAAAAGTGTGGCACTTTACCCCCCTCTCTAGCTCCTGCTTTCACCATGTGACGTGCCTGCTCTCCTTTCACCTTCCTAAAGCCCGTTTAAGCTTCCTAAAGCCTCCCCAGAGGCCAAGCAGATGCTGGTGCCATGCTTTCTGTAAAGTCTGTAGAACTGCGAGTTAATTAAACCTCTTCTTTATAAATTACCCAGTCTCAGGTATTTCTTTATAGCAATGTGAGAATGGCCTAATACACATAGTAAAGAGCTTCCTGTTAGGCTTAGCTTTGTTCTGGAGGAAGTCTTCTATAAAACCTCAATTATTCTGTCTCCAGGCTTCTCTCATTCCTTCTACATGTAGTGCAACAATGGGTGTTCAGTAAAGTGGGTCACACAGCACAATAGAGGGAGTGCTGGAACCAGAGCCCCAAATTTCTCATTCCCCATGTTCTTTTGCTTATCCATCCATCCATCCATCCATCCATCCATCCATCCATCCATCCATCCAACAAATATTGCTGAGTTTCTTCTACGTCAGTAGGTCTCAAACTTGGCTGCACATTGGAATCACCTGGATTCCACCCTTAGCAATTCTGATTTAATTGGGCTAGGGAGAGGCATGAATATTGAATTTTTTGCCTTGGAACATATTGTTTTATATACAACACAGTAGTGAATAGTGACTTCATTATGGGTTTGTTTCTTTACAGATCACAGTGGTATACAAAATTCGAAATCCATAAACAAAGAGCTCTTAGGTTAAATGAGTTCTTCCTAAAAATTCTTAATGGCATGCTGGTCTATTCTCAGGCAGTACAATTGTATAATGCACCATCCTATATTTAGCATTTCACATTTCTACAGTAAAATAATGGAGGCACAGGCAGTGCAAGCAGATTTAAACCCCTTCTACTTCTGGACTGAAGGTTAGAAAAACACAGCATGTGCACACACACACTTGGATGAGTTCTTCCAATACATTTTTCCCCCCAAAATGAGAGTTTTATCAAAGATTTTCAATAACTTCCATAGTTTGTACAACCACACTCTATTAGCTACATTAAAAAGGATTCAACAAGGGCCCAACTACACAGTAGTAAATAAATATGCTTGAGAATATCTGCTACATTCTCTATATCCTGGAGAAAAATAATCTTTCCATTTTTTGGTAAAGTTAATAACTAAACAATTCTTTCCTATGGTGGGGGTGGGTAATGGGACTGTCAAACCTTCACAGGTGATTCCAATGAGCGGTCAATTTGAGAAGAGTTTCTCTGTGCCAGAAACTGTTCCTGGTGCTGGAGATACTGCAGTCAACACACCAAACAAGATAATTACGGACAGAAATTAAACATGTAACTAATAAGAGAACATCAGGTAGAAATAGGTGCTATTAAAGGGGGCAAAACCAGTGTAGTTTGGGTGTGGTGGCTCACACCTGTAATCCCAGCAATTTGGGAGGCTGAGGCAGGCAGATTGCTCGAACCCAGGAAGTTCGAGACCAGCCTGGGAAACATGGCAAAAACCTGTCTCTACAATTAAAACAAACAAACAAACAACAATGATGACGACAACAACAACAACCACAACAAACAGTGTCATGCAGTAAAGAATAGCTAGAGTCAGAGTCACTTTTAGATGAAGGGGCCAGGATTAGGCTTTGCAGTACCATTTGAGAGGAGACCTAAATCCCAGAAGAGTGCCATAGGATGACCTCAGGGGAAAGCATTGCTGGCAGAAGGAGCATCTGAGGTATTCTGGACAGTTTCCCATTGCCCTTTCAGTCCTGCCGTCAGTCCTCTCCTTGCTCGTTTCAGCACAAGGCTGACCAGTAAGGATTTCAGCAGCAGGGCCTGGGGTGTGAGGATCTGGGATGTGGGTCTTGGGATGAAGGGGTGTCTGGGATGTGAGTCCTGGGGTTTGGGGGAACTGAGGTATAGGGTCTAGGAAGCAAAATT